CCTTCCTTTAAAGTGCAGGCATTGCACTTTCCATTTCCAGGACTCAAGTCCAGCTAACTGGTTTCCCTAAATCCCTTCACAAAATATTACCCTGCTCACACTCCAACAGCTTGTCAGGTCCCAAAAACGATTCATCTCCTTTCACTCCTATCTAACACTCTCATGCACTCTTGCTGGAAGTCCAAGCCCCTTGCCCACAAAACCTCGATTACCCCCCCCTCCAACCTTTTTGGGGATGACCTCAACCCCGCATTCCTTTCCCTACAGATTTATATGCTCTCCAAGTCATTCTACTTTGTTCCATTCTCTCTAAATGACCAAACTACCTCAACAGCCCCTCTTCAGCCCTCTGACTAATACTTTTAGTAACTCCACACCTCCTCCTAATTTCCACATTATGAATTCTCTGCATTATATTTACACCACACATTGCCCTTAGACAGGACATCTCCACTGCCTCCAGTCGCCTCCTCGCTGAAGCATTTACAACCCATGCTTCACACCCATATAAGAGTGTTGGTACCACTATACTCTCGTACATTCCCTTCTTTGCCTCCATGGATAACGTTTTTGTCTCCACAGATACCTCAATGCACCATTCACCTCTTTTCCTTCATCATTTCTATGGTTAACCTCATCCTTCATAAACCCATCTGTCATTCATCTTTGTTATCTTTCTATATTGTATTTCATATCTTTACTGAACAATACTTGTGGAAAACCTACACCTCTTCTTAATCCCCAAACTCCAGATTCTCTGTATATTATTTGCACTACACATTGTGCTCTAACATATCTAACTTTACCTGAGCTCTGAGTATTGCAATAGTCTCACTTTCACTTGTGCGTTCAGCCAGAGCAGCTTTTGTTTGGCCAAGCTCTTTCTTAATTTTGGACAGCTCGTCATTCTTGGCAGCTAACAATTCTTCATATGACATAAGCTTGGCTGTGGCTTCATCATGTTTTTCACTAATAGACTTTATCTAAGAGAATAAAAAAAGAGGATATTAGATAGCAACATACATCTGTTGTACATATTAATACATGTATAATGTAAACAGTATCTTTATATTTCTAGTATACAATATTAATATAAACCTAATGTTTTTTTTTTTTTAACAAGTCGGCTGTCTCCCACCGAGGCAGGGTGACCCAAAAAGAAAGAAAATCCCCAAAAAGAAAATACTTTCATCATCATTCAACATCATCATCAACCTAAAGTATATGCAGTATATATTAACCACATGACACTTGTCTTTGTGATAAGATAACAAGCTGGCCCAATGTTAGAGTCAGTGCAAAGCCCTAAGGCTGGGGCTACTGCAGCAGCAGCTACTGGCTTACTGGTGCTAGATTCAGTGGTCTCAGTGATATTGCTTGGCTTTATACATTCTGCACAAACTTGCATTTGTTGTGACTAATATGGCTACCATGTGAACACCTTGTGACTTTACCACTACCCTGTAAAGAACCTTGTAACAGATTTGGTAATCTGAGAAGAAAAGTAAATTACCAAAAGGAGAACAAATCTAATGCTTCCTTCCTGGATTTTCCTGGAACTGTTCACAAATAACCTGCGTATAGGAGAATGAAACTTATGGTGACGTTTCATGTGATTAGTTAATGGTTTAAGTAAGACCAAAACATCATCATATGTCTCATTCTCCTATGTGTGGGTTATCTGTGGAATGGACAAACAGATGTGAGCCACCAACCTTGACTTGATAATATTGGTCATTGTGTGTGTCTCTCTCAGCTCGATCTTTCAGTTCCTGTAGGTCCTTCTTTAAACGGTTGATTTCTGTGCGAGCCCTGGTGAGAGCTGTCCTCTCATCATTAGTTTTCTGCCTTTCTGCAGCCAGTGCAGCTTCCAAGGTATCTACCTAAATAAAAGTCAGCAACACAGTAGTTTGTAGCAACTTCATGTAATATATCACTTGGTTATTCAGCCCCTCAAAAAAATAAAAAGATGAAAGTGCCTGTTTATTAATGAAACAATCTTATAAGACAAGCGGATGGGACACAGCTAATCTCACCAAGAACACATAAGAATTTTTTTAAAAATAACCTGACATATTTTAATAAAATTAAGCTTTTAGTGAAACTGAGTTTAAGCAGTTGAACTTATATGGCCCTAGGGTCATCACAACCTAGCAACCCAACAATAGCCCTAGGAAAATTCTATCCCTTCATCCCAACAAAAAGAGTCCTAGGGCCACTGCCATCCTTCAACACAACAAATCTAGGTCTGATTAAACTCTTGAGCTCAACAGCATTAATAACAAAGAAGTAAGAATACTTACTGTCATATTACCAAGTAATAAATTGTATACGTTAATTATAAATTCATTTATACATTAAACCATGTACAATGTCATATATTATCAATTTAAAAATGTACAATGTCTTACATTACAAATTTATACATTAAACAATGTACAATGTCTTATCATATTACTGATGGTATGCACTACCAATGTCTGTCTTATTCATCAACATGTCTTACTTCTTCGCGAAGCATGGCTGCCTCGTCTCGAAGACGCTTCTTCTCCAAGGCATCCGCTGGATCCTGAGATTTGCATTTCATATTAGAATATTTAATGTAGCAAAAAATCTCCAAACCAAATACAAGTAAGAATAATTATGTATTATTTAGCATTCATGATGTTTGTATGATGTGTGAAATGACATTTGTTATGTCCAGAGGACTTACTGAATAATACTCCTCTTCTTCTTTACAATGCCTAAAAAAATTTAATTGCTGTGCAATAGAGCAAGGTATCCTAGCCCCAATAACCCTTGTCCATCCCAGCATATTTCACAAGAGAAAACTTTAGAAATTAAGAATTAAACAGAAATGTCTTCCTCCTTTTACCTCTCTCTCTCATTCTTCTGATTAACCATTTTTCCTCATACATCACCTTGTATTATTGAAATGTGTTGTAGACCTCTCTAGTGATGCTAAAGTTGTGATACTGGCAAGACTCAATTTTGCTGATCTCTAACTCTGTTGCAATATCCTTGAAAACCTGAAATTTTCCTTGGAGTTAACACTAGTAGGTTAAAGCCCATTAGTGTACTAACTGCTGGTCAGGTGCACAGACCAACCACCATGGAGACAACACATCATAAGAAAAGATGAGTGTTGCATATTTCAGTCTCATATTGAGGTCCTCATCAACAGAGTGAAGAGGGCCTCAGTGCAAAACCAAAATAATCAGTACCCATCTTCATTTTCTGTTTCATTGTCTTTATGTCACTTGACTTGTACCACAGTGGTAGGTATTTCAGCGCTATCATTTCACCGTTCTTCAAACTAAAGTAACTCCACAGAAAGGACCTCCATATGAGACTCCAACAATGCCAAACAAATCTTGTCATGATTGGAATAGTTATTCACTGTAACAGGATGAAATGTGACAATAAATAACAAGTAGTGGTGACCAATGCTGTTGAAAGTATTTTTCAACAGCTGTGAAAAAAATTAGAAAAATCACCCCTGAAATATATTGATACTGTAGTTAATCATATAACACCACATTGCAAGAAGATTGTGTTTACAGATCTTCATAGACACTGGTGTCAGAATGATACACTAACATGGGCCTAAGCTTAATGTCCTTGTTGCATTGCCTCCCAGAACTCACACACTCTTGTCTCTGTAAATCCTCAATTTATTTAACCTTAATAAGGGCATCAGGTGTAGTGCTGAAAGCTGCACCTTTGCCATGAATTACACTGGATTGTAAGCTGCGGCAACGATCACGATGAAGTGCTGCTTCCTCTTGAGCTCGCTGAACCTCCGATTCTAAGCCTTCAACCTGAACAAAAAATGAAAAGTAAATACATCATGATTATACATGGTGCAGTATAGTCTAAATATATGTATTGGTATTTATTTAACAATTGGCATTTGCCAGGTTCTTCAATGAATGCTTAAACTGTTATCAGTTAGAAGCTCACTGAAAATCTGTGTTTTCTCTTAATTTTTCTTACGATATCATAGCACAAGTTATACCATTAACAAAAAACCAAAACCATGAAATTTTTCTTAATTACTTATTATGTATCATAATGGAGTTACTACTTTACTATATCTGGTACATGTAACACAGAGGTACTACTGTATTATAGACAGGTATAAGAGTCATTGATTTACTATACCTGGTACATGTAACAAAGGTACTACTGTATTATAGATGGGTGTAAAGAGTCACTGCTTTACTATACCTGGGTCCGTGTATCATGGAGTTCCTGTAACAGAGTGGCTGAAGTATCTTGTTCCTTTTTAAGCTGGCTGCGTAATTTTTTTACATCTGCTTCAGTAAGTAGCCCACCTATTCCCTCTGTAATTATAATATTCAGCTGCTTGACAATGCAAAATCTTCAAAACTTCAGTAAACACTGATCATATTTAAAAATTACAAATTAATTTTACTAATGTGAAAGGCATCGGCAGACATACTAATACAGTGGACCCCCGGTTAACGAACTTTTTTCATTCCAGTAGTATGTTCAGGTGCCAGTACTGACCGAATTTTTTCCCATAAGGAATATTGTGAAGTAGATTAGTCCATTTCAGACCCCCAAACATACACGTACAAACGCACTTACATAAATACACTTACATAATTGGTCGCATTTGGAGGTGATCGTTAAGCGGGGGTCCACTGTACTAAATTTTACTTTATACACAAAACAAAAATTACAAAAACTGCTGAAGCTGCAAACCAAATAAGGGAAAAGGGGAAATAAAATCCCCCAGAAAGTTTAAATTTTAGCAGAGTATGCCACAGTTAACAGTTTAAAAAGTAAAGCACTGTACAATTTAGCGAATTCAAGAATAAATTCTAGGGGAAAGAGAAATATATTTTTGTCAGTGCCATGAATGTTTTATACAACATACAGTTAGATCTTCTAAAGACCACATAGCACAGGGGTACCACAGACATAAAAGCATCCACCAAACAAGCCTAGAAGGAACTTAAGATGAAGCCAGTAGCCCAAGGAAATCCTGAGATGTCCCACTTCGAGTTGCAAGGTCAGTGTAACTTTGTGGTCTCATCAATAAACCTACCAGGGGAGGGCATTTGGACACTGAATTACAATGGGTACCTTCCACCCAATGTAATTTAATGATGAGAACTGTAGGTGGCTTTCACTTAAAGTACAATGTCACTAGGTGGCTCTCACTACATTAGTGGTAAATCTCTGCAACTTCTCTTCAGAATCCCCCAAGGCCATGTCACAGAAAAGAGCAGCTGTGACAACCCCAAACTTTGTGTGTGATTCTTTATCTTTTAACTCCACGCCTCTTGCCAAGACCCTCGCATTTACTTCTCTTACAACCCCATCTATAAATATATTAAACAACCACGGTGACATCACACATCCTTGTCTAAGGCCTACTTTTACTGGGAAAAAATTTCCCTCTTTCCTACATACTCTAACTTGAGCCTCACTATCCTCGTAAAAACTCTTCACTGCTTTCAGTAACCTACCTCCTACACCATACACTTGCAACATCTGCCACATTGCCCCCCTATCCACCCTGTCATACGCCTTTTCCAAATCCATAAATGCCACAAAGACCTCTTAGCCTTATCTAAATACTTTTTCACTTTATATGTTTCACTGTAAACACCTGGTCCACACACCCCCTACCTTTCCTAAAGCCTCCTTGTTCATCTGCTATCCTATTCTCCGTCTTACTCTTAATTCTTTCAATTATAACTCTACCATACACTTTACCAGGTACACTCAACAGACTTATCCCCCTATAATTTTTGCACTCTTCTTTTTCCCCTTTGCCTTTATACAAAGGAACTATGCATGCTCTCTGCCAATCCCTAGGTACCTTACCTCTTCCATACATTTATTAAATAATTGCACCAACCACTCCAAACTATATCCCCACCTGCTTTAACATTTCTATCTTTATCCCATCAATCCGGCTGCCTTACCCCCCTTTCATTTTACCTACTGCCTCACGAACTTCCCCACACTCACAACTGGCTCTTCCTCACTCCTACAAGATGTTATTCCTCCTTGCCCTATACACGAAATCACAGCTTCCCTATCTTCATCAACATTTTAACAATTCCTCAAAATATTCCTTCCATCTTCCAATACCTCTAACTCTCCATTTAATAACTCTCCTCTCCTATTTTTAACTGACAAATCCATTTGTTCTCTAGGCTTTCTTAACTTGTTAATCTCACTCCAAAACTTTTTCTTATTTTCAACAAAATTTGTTGATAACATCTCACCCACTCTCTCATTTGCTCTCTTTTTACATTGCTTCACCACTCTCTTAACTTCTCTCTTTTTTCTCCATATACTCTTCCCTCCTTGCATCACTTCTACTTTGTAAAAAACTTCTCATATGCTAACTTTTCTCCCTTACTACTCTCTTTACATCATCATTCCACCAATCGCTCCTCTTCCCTCCTGCACCCACTTTCCTGTAACCACAAACTTCTGCTGAACACTCTAACACTACATTTTTAAACCTACCCCATACCTCTTCGACCCCATTGCCTATTGCTCTCATTAGCCCCTCTATCCCCCAATAGCTGTTTATATCTTACCCTAACTGCCTTCTCTTTTAGTTTATAAACCTTCACCTCTCTCTTCCCTGATGCTTCTATTCTCCTTGTATCCCATCTACCTTTTACTCTCAGTATAGCTACAACTAGAAAGTGATCTGATATAATCTGTGGCCCCTCTATAAACATGTACATCCTGAAGTCTACTCAACAGTCTTTTATCTACCAATACATAATCCAACAAACTACTGTCATTTCGCCCTACATCATATCGTGTATACTTATTATCCTCTTTTTCTTAAATATGTATTACCTATAACTAAACCCCTTTCTATACAAAGTTCAATCAAAGGGCTTCCCATTATCATTTACACCTGGCACCCCAAACTTACCTACCACACCCTCTCTAAAAGTTTCTCCTACTTTAGCATTCAAGTCCCCTACCACAATTACTCTCTCACTTGGTTCAAAGGCTCCTATACATTCACTTAACATCTCCCAAAATCTCTCTCTCTCCTCTGCATTCCTCTCTTCTCCAGGTGCATACACGCTTATTATGACCCACTTCTCGCATCCAACCTTTACTTTAATCCACATAATTCTTGAATTTACACATTCATATTCTCTTTTCTCCTTCCAAACTGATCATTTAACATTACTGCTACCCCCTTTCCCTTTTCTCTAACTCTCTCAAAATACTCCAGATTTAATCCCATTTTATTTCCCCCACTGAAACTCTCCTACCCCTTCAGCTTTGTTTCGCTTAGGGCCAGGACATCCAACTTCTTTTCATTCATAACATCAGCAATCATCTGTTTCTTGTCATCCGCACTACATCCACGCACATTTAAGCAACCCAGTTTTATAAAGTTTTCTTCTTCTCTTTTTTAGTAATTGTATACAGGAGAAGGGGTTACTAGCCCATTGCTCCCGCATTTTAGTCGCCTCATACGACACGCATGGCTTAGGAGGAAAGATTCTTTTCCACTTCCCCATGGACAATAGAAGAAATAAAAAAGAACAAGAGCTATTTAGAAAAAAGAGAAAAACCTAGATGTATGTATATATATATATGCATGTGCGTGTCTGTGAAGTGTGACCAAAGTGTAAGTAGGAGTAGCAAGATATCCCTGTTATCTTAGCGTGTTTATGAGACAGAAAAAGAAACCAGCAATCCTACCATCATGCAAAACAGTTACAGGTTTTTGTTTCACAGTCATCTGGCAGGACGGTAGTACTTCCCTGGGTGGTTGCTGTCTACCAACCTACTACCTACTGAAGCATATATGTGAACAGTATTTAGATAAAGGTAGGGAAGTTTTTATTGCATTTATGGATTTAGAAAAGGCATATGATAGAGTGGATAGAGGAGCAATGTGGCAGATGTTGCAAGTATATGGAATAGGTGATAAGTTACTAAATGCTGTAAAGAGCTTTTATGAGGATAGTGAGGCTCAGGTTAGGGTGTGTAGAAGAGAGGGAGACTACTTCCCAGTAAAAGTAGGTCTTAGACAGGGATGTGTAATGTCACCAGGGTTGTTTAATATTTTATAGGGGGGTTGTAAAAGAATAAATGCTAGAGTGTTGGGGGAGAGGGGGGGGATTAAATTATGGTGAACAAATTTAAAAAAGGGAATTAACACAGTTACTTTTTGCTATGATATGTCTTATGGAGATTCTAAAGAAAAATTGCAACGGTTAGTGGATGATTTGGGAATGTGTGTAAAGGTAAAAGTTGAAAGTGAAATAGAAAAGATAAAGGGGAGAGGGGATCAAATGATTTAGATAAAGAAAAATTGGGTATTAAATTGGGGAGGAGGATATGGAAGAAGTGAATGTTTCGTACACTACTTGGGAGTTTACGTGTCGGGGATGGGTTTTTGAAGGATAGGTTAATCATAGAAATTTATGAGGGAAAAAAAAAGGGGAGTGGGGCGTTGAGGTTTGTGGAGTCAAAAAACATTATCTATGGAGGCAAAGAAGGGAATGATGAAAGTATAGTAGTACCAAAAAAACCCTTTTTTGGTGTGAGTTTGGGGGGTAAATGCAGCAGCGGGAGACGGTTGGAGGCAGTGGAGATGTCCTTTTTGGGGGAATGTGTGGTTTTAAATTTAGCAGAAAAATTTGGAGTGTGGAAAATTTGCAAAAGGTGTGGGTTAATAAAAGTATTAGTCGAGGGCAGAAGAGGGGTTGTTGAGGGTTTGGTCATTTAAAAAATGGATCAAACTAGAAGACATGGAAAGCATTAAATCTATAGGGGAAGGAAAAGGGGTTGGGGTGTCCTCGAAAGGGTTTGGGGAGAGGGGTAAAAAAGGGGGTTTTGTGGGGAGGGGGTTAGACTTCCAAGCTGCGTGAGCGTGTTTGTGGAGTGAATGGGGACGAATGGTACTTGGGGGCCTGATGAATTTTTGGAGTGTGAGCAGGGTAATATTTAGTGAAGGGATTCAGGGAAACCGGTTATTTTCATATAGTCGGACTTGAGTCCTGGAAATGGGAAGTACAATGCCTGCACTTTAAAGGAGGGGTTTGGGATATTGGCAGTTTGGAGGGATATGTTGTGTATCTTTATACGTATATGCTTCTAAACTGTTGTATTCTGAGCACCTCTGCTAAAACAGTGATAATGTGCGAGTGTGGTGAAAGTGTTGAATGATGATGAAAGCATTTTCTTTTTGGCGATTTTCTTTCTTTTTTGGGTCACCCTGCCTCGGTGGGAGACGGCCAACTTGTTGAAAAAAAAAAAAAAAAAAAATTACTAAGTAGTTCATGTCTACTGATTTGCAGCCACCATGTCAGATTTCTTGCAAGTCTCTCATTGGTCACATGTGAATATGTCAGCAATAAACTGGGCAAAAGCTATAAAGTAACTCCAGCCTTAAAATATAAGCCATACCCTCAACAGGAGTAGTTTCCAAGGAGCGTGCCTTGGCATCAGCGCCCTCACGAAGTTGACGTAGTTGAAGACGAAGTTCACTTGCTGTATTTAAAAGCTCAAACCTCTCCAGCTGCAGTCTCTCTTGCTCACTGCGACTTGTAGTCAAGTCACACTGAAAAGTTATTTAAAATTAATATGAAGCCCTAAACAGGCAATTTTTTAAGTAAAAATGAAATAGCAAGTACAGATATTGTACTAAGGGACAAGTAAGTGGTACTTACAGTCTAGTGAAAATTTGTACATAAACTGTGCAAGGAAAAGCTTCTGTAGTCAGCTTTTATAAATTAAGTCTTCAACTCTTTTGTGGAATTAAAAGTAGTAGGAACATTATAATGAATATCCCATACTAGAAAAGCTTTTTCCTTAGATAAGCTAAAATATTGCAGGAACAAAGGTGTAGAATTTTCAAGTAACACTGATTTAAGAGTGACTAGACCAGGCAGTCAACAATCAGGTTCTGACATCATGCAAGGCTTCAGAGAAAAACTTCAAACCAGTCACAGGTTTGTAAAACTGTGATGGACAGAAAACATGTTAATATGGCAATTAACTATAAGCTGTTGTGACTTTATGGAATGTAAAAATTAAGTGTGGTGCAATTTTTCTGATGTTGTGGAATTTCTTCACCTTCAACAGTGTGATGTCTCCCTCATCTAGCTGGCTCTCTGTGATATCAGTTTTTCCCGCAGCACACGACACGCGCTCTCAGCGCGCCGCAGTTCCTCTCTGCAATTCCAAAGCGTGTGTTTCAATAACTTTATAGTCTGTAAGTCTTGAATATGTGTTGAGGTCTTCTGGTGACTGAAACAGCAAAGTGTATCTTTATATTTTTCTTTTGTTTTTTTCAACATTGCTGGCCATCTCCATGATGCAGGATAACATGAAAAAGAAAAACACATTTTACATCCCTTTACCACTTAACCCTTAAATGGTCCAAACGTACTATATACGTTTTTTTACATCTGACTTGGCACGCGTCATTCCCTTGGCACGATCTTCTTTTTTGTTTTTCCTTTGAAAACATGTAAATAAACTTTTACCTAATTTTTTTTTTTGTTATATTTGAAATATGTTAAAAAAAGTAGATCTACTTTTGTAGCACTAGAATTTGAAGTCGATCTGTTTGGAGGTTTAATGTTAATCACTGTCTTTACATGAGCCATGCAGATACAAACAGTTCAGATGTCCTCCAAACAGCAAATATCCAACCCCTCCTTTAAGATGCAGGCGTGTGATACTTCTCACCTCCAGGGAATCAAGTCCAGTAAACCTGACAAACATAATTATTTTTTTTAACACAATGCGTCTCCACCATGGCAGGGTGACAGCAAAAAAAAAGTCTCCAAATTGATGGAGGCTTCATTCAGAGGTCTGCCAAAATTGAATCAATAAAGACTAAAAATTATGTTCATATATAATTTTATTCAGATTTTTCAGCTATTTTGTCTTTATTTGAATAGCAGGTATCTTTTATATTTTGTTTTTAAACTTGTTAATATGACGGTTTTTATGAATGACCGAAAAAAGAAGAGAGATTTTGAGAGTGGTAATTAAAATCCTTGTACGTTAGTTTTCTTTCAGGAATCATGTGCCAGACCCCAGAAAATGAACAGTGCTGCCCCCTCCCCCACCAAAAAAAAGATGGAATATGCAACCAAATTTATTCACACATTGCCCTGTCAATAAAAACATTTGACAATCAACTCTCATATATGTATGTATGCAAGTATATACATACATATGAAAGCATGTACATATATCATATATAATATGTGCATACACCCCCCACACACATATACATGCACACACATATATACAGTGCAAACAATCAATACAAAACAAGCCACAAGGAAGTAAAAAAAAAATCAGCACTAGGCCTTTCATACTATTGCCAGATCTTTGTCAGGAGCTTTGTAATTAAGGAAATGGTAAAAAAAAAAAAAAAAAAAAAAGGATAAAAAAATATCAGGAGTAAGCTAATGGCCTTGCAACTGACACCACTATGTCTTACAGTTTTCTCAATTTGCAATTACCTTGATTGAAAAGCTCTGGACAAAGCACTGCAAACAGTGCTCAAAGGACTGGGAAGCCAAATTTTCTACTACCCGTCTGGGCTTGTTTTGTCATATACTGTACTGTATGTGTGTAGGTATATATATGCAAAAGCCCTGAATGTGGGAAGGACAATACCGCTTCACTTTAAAGGGAGGGGTAAGGGGATATTGGCTGTTTGGAGTCTGTGACATCTGAAACTGCAAAGGCAGTGTTAGTGCGTGAATGATGGTGAAAGTGCTGAGCAACGGTTGAAAGTGCTCTTTTATCTTATGGGGGTCACCTTGCCTCGGTAGGGGAGATGGCCAACGTGTTTTAAAAAAAAAATTACATGAAATTACCTGTAGACTTTGAAGCCATTTTTTAAATACACAAGGATACAGAGAAAAATCTATTTATGATTTCTGTTATCAAAATTAAGGGACAGATGATAAAATATTTAATATAAAACTATAAAATATACTGAAATATTTACAGAAATGTTATCACCTTTGAACCAGCAAGTTGAGATCTCAGACTAGCATTTTCTTGCTGAAGAGTGGACAGCTGCTGGGTAAACTCATGGATGCACTTGCGTTGCTCTTGCTGATGTAGTTCATTCTGCTGTCTCCACTTGACTACTAGTCCAAGTTGTTGCCGAAGAGCAAGATTGTTTTGTGCCACCGTTTCTGTTGCGGAGGTTTTATCAATATAAACTTGGCCATTACTATAAGGTGCAATACTATAGTAATATCAATACGAAAACCATTTATCTCCTTCACGTAAGTTTATGTGATAACAACAACTGCCTTTGCAGAAAAAATGGACTTTTGAGAACTGTCTGTGAAGTAAGAAAGAGCAGTAATAAGTAAGAATGTGAGAGGTGCAAATGGATGAAGTAGATGAAAAGGAATTAGGACCAATATGAAGTATTTTAAAATACAGAGTTTTAGTTTAACGAGTGTTAAATTTAAGAGAATTTACCTTAGCAAACATGAGACAGAATAATATTCCAAATTTCTCCTTCCCCCTACTCCTCATCCTTGATTTTTTTCCCTCCCTCCTCTTCCCTCCTTGCTCCATCTTTTAAACTGTATCCAGCACACCAATGTCAATCACCAGTGTTACTAATGGTGCTACAAATCAGGTCAATGCATACACTAGCACCACTCTCAACAACACTGTACCTCACGCTGCATTCACCACCATTCATTTAACAGCTGTTTACCTCCATGTTAACAAATACTATAGAAAAGATTACCACTCAGTGTTTGGTTCTGTACTATACCTTTGTAGCTCCGGGTTCTCTTGATGATGCAGGCAGCTTGGAAATAAGATTTCTGGCTCAACTTCCTGCCCTGGCATATACTTGTTATTGATGCCTAGGGGAATCAGAAAAAGTATCTAAATACGTACAAGTATGAACAGGGAAACACATAAATATCTCTGTTAGTTTCTGGCCATATATAATATGACAATTTCAATTCTATATATCAGTGGACCCGTCAATAAACGATCACCTCCGAATGCGACCAATTTATGTAAGTGTATCTTATGTAATGTGCGTTTGATAGTGTATGTTTGGGGGTCTGAATATGGGACTAATTCTCCTTCACACTATTCCTTATGGGGAACAAATTACGGGTCAGTCTGGCACTGAACAGATTCTGGATTGAAAAAATATGTTAGAACCGGGGGTCACTGGTACTTATATATACTTTTGGTCAAGAAAACTTTTAACATAGCATGCCATACAGTTTGCACAGATAATTATGACTGGCTGCATGAGAAACTTTTAATAACGGAAACATATGGCAGCAGATGTTTGAAATGTGGGTTTTCGTACACCAATTGCAAGTGGGGCCATGTAGCTTCAAGAGTGTGGTGATCCACCCTTAGGTTGAACTCTGTACTATGCTCAATACAGCTCAAATGATGGCACATAAGATGGATAATAATGTTAGAACAGGACAGTGTTTTGTAGCGTTATGTCCTCCGGGAGTTTAAAGACTGTTGTGGGTCATATCCTGGCGCGCTCGCTCAAGAGATATAAAAAATAAAACCCAATGGAAAAAAGCCAAAATGACTGGCTTTACTGGGTTACTAACCCTTTGGATTAAAAAATCCAAATAAAGTCTTCTTATCCACATTTTAGCTGTAAGCTGAATCCATGAGTTAATTGTTAATTTGTTTGTTTAGAGATTAAGCTAGTCTATATTTCACATCACAGTTATGCATTTTGTCAATTAATCTAATATTAATTTGCTTAGTCATGGGTTGTTTCATCTTTTTGCTGTAACTTTTTTATTTATAAAGAAAAGAGTACGACTCAATAATATATAACCTTAAGATTCTCACACTTTACTAAGGATACTTATTAATAATAATAACAATAATAATCTATACATGTATTTAATAACTCTTCCTCTTCCTATTTTTTAACTGACAAAACCATTTGTTCTCTATGCTTCTTATCGTGTTATCTCACTCAAAACTTTTTTTATAGTCAACAAAATTTGTTGATACATTCACCACTCTCTCATTTGCTCCTCTTTTTACATTGCTTCACCACTTCTTATCTTTCTCTTTTTCTCCATTTACTCTTCCCTCCTTGCATCACTTCTAACTTTGTAAAAATTCTCAATGCTAACTTTTTCTCCTTACTACTCTCTTTACACTTCATTCCTCAATCGCTTCCTCTTCCCTCCTGCACCCACTTTCTGTAACACCAAAATTTGTGAAACACTCTAAACACTAATTTTTAAACCTTACCCCATACCTCTTCGACCCATTGCTTGCTCTCAGTAAGGCCATCTATTTCCCCAATAGCTGTTTATATCTTACCTAACTGCTCATCTTTTAGTTTTAACCTTACCACTCTTCTTCTGATGCTTTCTTCTCCTTGTATCCCATTTCCTTTTATTCAGTATAGATACAAACTAGAAGCGTGATTCTGATATCGTGTCCCCTCTATAAACATGTTACATCCTGAGTCTACTCAACAGTCTTTTATCTACCATACATATCATCCCCCCCCCCCCAAACAAAATACTGTCTCCATTCTCGCCTAATCATATCGTTGTTTACCTTATTTATCTCTTTTTCTTAAAAATGTATTACCTATAACCTAATAACCATTTCTATACACGCCTTTATATCAAAGGGCGCCATTATCATTTACACCTGCACCCAAAACTTCCTACCACACCCTCTCCTAAAAAGTTTCTCCTACTTTAGCATTTTCTAAGTCCCCTACCACATACTTCTCACTTGGTTCAAAGGCTCCTATTACACGTCACTTAACATTCCCAAAATCTTTCTTCTCTGCATTCTTTTTCTCCAGGTGATTCACGCTTCTGCATGACCCAATTCTCGCATCCAACCTTTACTTTAACTCACACATATTTCTTGATTTTACACATTTATTTTAGCTTTTCGATAAGCTCACCACCCTCGCTCTCTGATATTTCAATTAATGCTACCTTCCTTTGCTATAAACTCTCTCAGATTTCCAAGATTAATCCCATTTATTTCCACACTGAATCGCCTCCTACCCTTTAAGCACTCCCCCTCGCGCCCTCGCGCCTTAGGGCAGGACATTCCAACTCTTTTTTATTCCATACATAGCAATATCTGTTTCTTGTCATAGCAACTACACTCACGCACATTTAAGCAACACTGTTTTAGATAGTTTCTTATTACTTCTTTTTTAGTATTTGAATACAGGTGAGGGGTTACTAGCCCTGGTCCCGGCATTTTCGTGCTAACTAGACACGCATGGCTACGGGAGGAAAGATTCTTTTCCATTCTCCCCCTTGGGACAGTTGAAACTATAACGTGAACAGTATTTAGGATAAGGCTTACATGAGGTCTTTGTGCGACATATTGGATTTGGGAAAAGGGTACTGCGACTGGAGTCGGACTAGGGGGGCATGTGGCAGGATGTTGCAGTGTTACTATGGTGTTAGGAGGTTGGTTACTGAAAGCAGTGAAGAGTTTGTACGAGGATAGTGAGGGCTCAAGATAGAGTATGTAGGTAAGGGGGAAATTTTTTCCAGTATAAGTAGGCCTTAGACAAGGATATGGTGTGATGTTCAACCGTGGTTGTTTATATTTTTATTAGATGGGGTTGTAAGAGAAGTAAATGCGCGGGTTTTGGCAAGAGGCGTGGCAGTTAAAAGATAAAGCATCACACACAAAGTGGGAGTTGTCACAGCTGTCTTTGCTGATGACACTGGTTCTCTTGGGAGATTTGAAGGAAGTTGCAGAGATTTGGTGGATGAATTTGGTATTAGGGTGGTGCAAAAGAAGAAAAATTACAAGGTGATACAGGGAAAGAGTTAGGTTGGTATGAGGATTACATAAACGTTTAGGTGATGAAAGATTGAATTCTCAGATTGGGAGGGAGTGAGTATGGAAGGAGGTGAAGTATTCAGATATTTGGGAGGGACGAGTCAGCGGATGGGGTCTAGATGAAGATGAGGTGAATCATAGAATTGATGAGGGAAAAGAGTGAGTGGTGCACTTAGGAGTCGTGGAAAAAAGAACGTTGTCCCTGGAGGAAAGGAGGGATTGTATAGAGAGATATAGTTTTACCAACGCTATTTATGGGTGTGCAGGTGGGGGGTGATGAATGTTTGCAGCGAGGGAGAAGGCTGGGAGGGCACGTGGAGATGTCATGATCATGAGGGCAAATGACGGTCGCGTGTGATTATAATGCAGAGATTCGTAGTTTGGAAGTTAGGAGGAGGGTGCGGGATTACAAAAACTGTTGTGCCAGAGGGCTGAGGAAGGGTTGTTGAGGTGTTTTCGAGACATGTAGAGAGAATGGATGCGAAACCGAATGACTTCAAGAGTGTATCAGTTCTGTAGTGGAAGGAAGGCGGGGTTAGGGGTCGGCCTAGGGAAAGGTTGGAGGGAGGGGGTAAAGAAGGAGGTTTTTGTGTGCGGGGGGGGGGGGGGGGGTGGGGGGGAGGGGCTTGGCTTCCAGCAGGCCATGCAGAGGTGTGAGCGTGTGTTGATAGGAGTGAATGGAGACAAATGGTTTTAATACTTGAGTGCTGTTGGAGTGTGAGCAAAGTAACATTATGAGGGAGTCAGGGAAACCGGCAGGCCGGACTTGAGTCCTGGGATGGGATAGAAGTACAGTGGCCTGCACTCTGGAAGGAGGGGTGTTAATGTTGCAGTTTACCCAACTGTTGTGTAAGGCAACATTTGGAAGTACAGGATGGACGTGACATGGATGGTTGAAAGTTTTTCTTTTGGCCACCCATGACTTTGGGAATCGGCCGGTTGTGATATTAAAAATATAATAACATGTATTTCTACAGGTACATGATTAAATGATACAGACCTAGTCAACATTATCTGATACTTTACAGAAAGCCCCCCCTGGTTAGTTATTGCAGAGCATTCTGAGCAGCCTAAGTTAATATTATTCCAGGATGCAACCCACTGTCTGCTCATACCAGGTGGCTGAATTACTGCTGGGCGCGAAACAGGGGAGTAAGTGCCGGGGGATCATATCCTGGCCCTTAGGCACTGAGCTGAGGATGCTACCAATACCATGCTTACTAGTAATTATATGGAAATCACACATATTTCCTCAAATCAATGAGTAAATTATAAACAGACTTTGCTTCTCGCTGCGAGTCGCACTATCACTCGCATATATAAACATTATATTTCTTCGCACTAAAGAGAGGTGGACAACATGATATTTTTTTCTACAGTAGCTAGTACACACACACACACTATATCGCGCGCGGAATGGAAAAAAAAATTATGGGGCTCACTTGGCAAAAAAAAAAAACTTTTATTTTCAGTAGCATCCCATTAGAGGCAATGAAAGTAGAAGCTGATGGATGGGAGGCAATGACCTCAATACCAGGTGATGAGCATTCCACACAAACCACCGTACCATCTTGGGTTCGTCTGCGTACCATTAACCATAACAAAAAATGATAAGCAGGATTCTCTGTATGAGAGTTTTTTTCCCCAACAACTAAACTGCACAGTTACATACATGTTATATGTCTGTCAAAATTGCATCTTCTGTAATTTTCCTCACTACAGCCATAAAGTCTGTTGTAGCTTACTAATTCGTACATCACTTTTTTGTGTTCTTATGAATGACTGAATTTTATTGGCTGTCATGTTTATCACTTAAAACAATGATGCTTTCTCTTTTTAAGCGCACCGTCAGAATTTATTCAATAAGTAACTTTCAACAACCTTATTTGATACTGTAGTCGTAAATATTCGCACTTTATCCAGTTTATATTAAGAAAGACCAAAACAAAATTATTAAAGTAAATACTGTACTTTACTATCTTAGTCATGCCAAGCGGGCCGGGAAAATAAAATATTTTAGTGCATTTAACATTATGTAAAACAACTGAGACAAAAGTTTGCCCATTGCAGATTATTATTCAGACCAATTTCAGATGCCTTAGCATTACTACTAAGATTGCTCGCTGTAAAACATTACTATTTATACTGCAATACCAGTGCTAGAATCATATTTTTCCAAGTAGCTGCAATAAACTCTCTCACAACACACCAATTACATTCATGAAAATCAGCATGTTATGAAAAATATATTTATGTAAAATGAAGAATATAGAGCAAAATATTGTTACATTCCAGACACTTTCAAATTTACCAAATAACTTTTTTTAACACTGTACCTGAAGAACAATATGACAGTTTATCTTACTTTATATTCTAGTTGTTGCTGCTTGCTAATAAGGAAGTGTATGGAAAGGGCTGATGTGGCCCTACCAGGCTAAGGAAGATGGTTGTGTTTCTTGTGTCAATGTAAATCCAGAGTTGTCAGTAATCGATGGTTTTAATGAAGTGCATATGTATTCTGTAATGCATCTCTGGAATGTTTTTACTCTCAGTTCGGCGCTCTCGTCTTCAGAGCTGACAAGAAAATATTTTCACAAAGACTATTGCACATTTTTAAGTTTTCACATAATCCTTCACTAATCATACATTGTTGTGAAGGCTTGTCTTCCTTTTCTCAAAGTTTCATAGTATGACAGGACTTTGTGCCTTGTTATCTGAGCATTATGTGGGGCTTCTTTCTTCTGTTTTTTCCTCAAACCATACATTCTGTAACTTTTCTGGCTCATTTTGTTGTAATAACCTCTTTAACATTCCATTAACAAGTAACAATCTGTACTATTTAATGCAGAAACTTTTGTATTTTTTCTTGTAATCTCTAAGTGTATGAATGGGTGATTCATTTACACAACTCACAGGCAATGTACATTACACATACACTACCTCTAAAGTCTAATACTGTACTTCCATTTTGTTCAACAGTCAAAGATTCACACAATATTGTTCTAAGCACCACCATCCTAATGGGTGTCATGCAAATTATCCAGAAGTTGAAGACAGTACAGCAGCTGAGGTTCAATCATGCAGAGTTTGTCAAGGTTAGGAACCAAAACCAGGGAAATTGAACACAATTTTATAGTATCTACAACCGGTGGTCAGTCCTCAAATACCTTTTATTATACAGCAATAAAGGAGTGGAAAGGGATTGCCTGAGATGTTCAAAGCCCTTTCTCCGGCACTTGCTCGCTCGCTAGCGCTTCGCTAGAGAGCCTAAGGTACCTAATGAATGAAGTTAAAGAACGGAGAGTGATTTTTGTATAGTTAACCATTCTTAGTACTATTACTGTAAGATGATCTTCTCGCGCTCTCGCGCGCGCGCGTAAACAAACGCTGTTTACTTTATCCGATTGTACTCCTTTTAGTGTGATTTGATTTTTCACATAGTTGAGTTACTTTGTGCTTCTAATTTTAAGGTTATAAAAATTACTGATTTACTATTTATCTTACAGCAATAAGATATTACAGAACCCAAGTGGAAATAGTACCTTCATCTGACTTTTATGTTCTAGTTCTAGGTATATTTAATGTATGTACTATGTATGAAATTGTTGCACTGTACTTATATGCAGCTGATACCTAAAATATGACTTAATTATTAATCTCTACCAGTGTTGTTGGGAGGATGATTTTACTAGTGTGTTGGCAGATGATTCTTACCAGTGTGTCTGGAAGATGATCTTACAGAATTGGAAGTTGAGCTTAACAGTGTGTCGGATGACTGATCTTAGCTAGTGTGTCTGGAAGATGTATCTTAGAGTGTGTTGGAAGATGATCTTACCGTGTGTCTGGAAGAATGATCTTACTAGTGTGGTCTGGAAGATGGATCCTTACAGTATGTGTCATGAAGATGATCTTACCAGTGTGTCTGGAAGATGATCTTACCAGTGTGTCTGGAAGATGATCTTACTAGTGTGTCTGGAAGATGATCTTACCAGTGTGTTGGAGGAGATGTCTTCCCAGCTCTGTGTCGGAAGTGATCTTACCAGTGTGTATGTGAATATGATCGCTTTCAGTGTGCTGGAAGATGGTCTTACTAGTGGTCTGGGAAGATGATCTTACCAGTGGTCGGAAGATGATTACCAGTGTTGTCTGGAAGAGTATCTTATACTAGTGTGTAGGAAGATGATCATACCAGTGTGTCTGGAAAGATGATCTTACAGAGTGTTGGAAGATTATATTACTAGTGTGTCTGGAATATGATCTTTACAGTGTCTGGAGATGTCTTACAGTGTGTCTGGATGATGAATCTTACCAGTGTCTGGGAAAAGATGATCTTACCAGTGTACTTGTGTGTCTGGAAGATGATTCTTACCAGGGTTTGTTGGGAAGATGACTTCCAGTGTGTCTGGATGATGATCTTAACAGTGTGTCTGGAAGATGATCTTACCAGTGTGTCTGGAAGATGATCTTACCAGTGTGTCTGGAAGATGATCTTACCAGTGTCTGGAAGATGATCTTACCAGTGTGTCTGGAAGATGATCTTACTAGTGTGTCTGGAAGATGATCTTACCAGTGTGTCTGGAAGATGATCTTACCAGTGTGTCTGGAAGATGATCTTACCAGTGTGTTGGAAGATGATTTACCAGTGTGTCTTTGAAGATGATCTACTAGTGGGTCTGGTGATGATCTTTCCAGTGTGTCTGGAAGATGATCTTACATGTGTGTCGGAAGATGTCTTACCAGTAAGGTTGTTGGAAGATGATCTTACGTGCTTGTGTCTGGAAGATGATCTTCAGTGTGTCTGGAAGATGATCTTACAGTGTGTCGGAGATGATCCTTACAGTCGTGTCTGGAAGATGTCTTACAGTGTGTCTGGAAGTTGTTTTACATGTGTGTCTGGAAAATTGATCTTACCAGTGTGTCTGGAAGAGTGATCATAACTAGTGTGTCTGGAAGATGATCTTAATAGTGGTCTGGACAGATGTCTTACATGTGTGTCAGGAAGATAGATCTTACCAGTGTGTCTGGAAGATGATTTACCAGTGTTGGAAGTTGATCTTAGGGTCTGGAAGATGATTTACCAGTGTCTGGAAGATGATCTTACTGTGTCTGAAAAGATGGATTTACCAGTGTGTTTGGTAGATGATCTTACCAGTTGGGTCTGGAAGATGATCTTACGTGTCTGGAGATGATCTTACATGTGTCTGGAAGATGATCTATTACCAGTGTGTCTTGGAAAGATGATCTTACCAGTGTCTGGGAAGATGATCTTACATTGTTGGAAGATGATCTTTTCCAGTGTCGGAAGGATGATTTACCGTGTATCAGGGAAGATGTTTCAACAATGTGTCTGAAAATTAAATTACTTCTAACAGCTGAATAAGCAAATATAATAAATCACGGGGCCAGGAGCTGTGAATCGACCCTTGCAACCCCAAATAGGTAAGTATGGGGTCTTTATTTCCACATTCTGGGCTTCGTAAATTTCCTACACCCTTACTTTATACTAAAAGGTTTTAAAGTAATTTATTATATACTGTTCAATAACTGATTATGAGTCTATACAGTTTCCTTACCGTTTATGAACTATGACGTTATAAAAATTATTTTTACCTTAGCCTGCTTTTATCTGGTGTTGTTTTTCTTACTGTTGTTAAGGTTATTAAGGGCCACCAAAGCTTTGGTCTTAATGAACCTTTACCGGGAGGGAGTACGGGTAGATTGTTGCCTTAACATCAACCTTCTGAGACCACGCAAAACCTTAAGTATGTTTCTTCAGGTTTACACAATACAGTTACTAGATTATCATACATAGCAGCATATGTGTAGAGAACCTAGGACATCCCAAAAAAGTCAGTGACTTATTTCCATTGGGGTCCTTACAGGAAGTAAGTAGGTAAGTAAGTCAGTACGTAAGTAAGTACGTGAGCAAAGTATGTAAGTACGTAAGTAAAGTAAGTAAAAGTAAGTAAGTAGTAAGTTTATTTAGGTAGAGGTACACATAAGTACAATTATCATAGTGTAAATTACCTAGGATAACCAAAAAAGTCAAAGTTATTTATTTGCTTTTGGGTCATTGATATGGCAAAACACTTTGAAGTACACTGTGTGCGGTCGTAGTTTCCACAAATTTGTGAGCAACAAATATGGCAAACAGCTCAGTTTGTAGTGTGTTAGCCTAGTTATTAATTCTTAAAATACATCACAATGGAAATAAGTAACTGCGTTTTTTGAGTTATCCTAGGTAATTTACACTATGTATGATAATTGTAACAGTATTACCTGCCTTCCTACTGTCAGAGGTTGAGGGAGCATCGATTTGAGGAATGGTGTGATAGTATGTTTCTTTATTTTTAATTCTAAGTTTTGTATTTGTTCTAAAAGCAATGATTTTTAAAAAGTAATCGAATTTTATTATTATTATAATCAAGGGGAAGCACTAAACCCATAGGATTATACAGCGCCTGGGGGGGGGGGATGTGGAAGGCATTAAGGGCCTTAATTCGGGGAACTGGAGTGCAGATCCATTCGTAAACTTCAGAGCCTTCACAACATCATCTCGCGCTCTCACGCGCTACCTGAGGGATAAAAAAAAAAAAAAAAGAAAAAAAAAAAAAAAATAAAAAAAAAAAAAAAATCGGAAGCTGCTGACTGTACATGATTGGTCTAAAATTGTTATCTGCCATGGTGGTTGGAAATGCTGTTATTTTCTAGCAAGATACAGTTCATGTAGTCCAAACATTTTATTTGTGTGGTTATTATTTGAATCCATCTTGATTCATTTGTCCCATGAATTATATGTCCTAGTAATTCAATATTATTATTTTATAATCAAGGGGGAAGCGCTAAACCCAGAGGATTATACAGCGCCTGGGGGGGGGGGATGTGGAAGGCATTCAGGCTTAATTTGGGGAACTGGAGCACAGATCCAATTCCCTAAATCAAGAGCCCCTCACCAACATCAAGGAACCTTCCTTGAGGGGATAATTTCTATAGAGACAACATTTTTGTTTTGATCACCCGGCAGCAGTTTCAGTCAAGTATTGTATCAACGACACTAGGAACAAACATCATTTATACAGATTGAAACCCAACTATGACCAATGATATAATTTTTTTAGTGGTATTAATAAATCAAGGGTTTGAAATTGTATTCCTTACTGTACTGTGTACAACAACTATGTGACATAATTTTAAAATACGAAATGACTTATATTCTTTCAAAGTGCTGAAACAATGATCAGTGGTGTTCCGAGAGAACCCATTATGACCTCTGTGGTTTTGATAGAACTATGATGAACCTCTGGAGGTATGATAGCCAATTATGGTCCTTCAGGGGTCTGATTGACCCATATGACCCTGTGGTTTGATAGACCTATTATGACTCTGGGGTTGATAGACCATTATGACTCTGGAGGTCTGATAGACCCATTGTGACCGCGTTAATACTTTTCTTTTGCGTGACCGGTCACAGGCTGAGGTGTAGGTGCATAATAAATTTAACTCACAGTTTAACCTAGTTAAATCAGGCGTAATTTAAAAGGAAGCAAAGTTTCCCCCTCGAAAAAGAAACCAAATCAAAAAAGTTCCCCAGTTAAGTGGTGGGGACACTTGCTAAATCATGGCAGAACCAGGACTATGTAAACACACACTTGAAACCATTCATAGCTTTAAGACGAGGTATGATAAAGCTCAGGGAGCAGAGTGGATCTAGTAGCGATCAGTTAAGAGGCGGGGCCAGGAGCTGAGTCTCGACCCCTGCAACCACAATTAGGTGAGTACAGAGCAGTTCCAGTGTGCACAACTATCAAATGACAGTACTGCTGTGTCTATCAGCAAATACTAAGGCAACAATTCTTTGGCTTCTATCCAATGAATAATCTTTGGTAATAGATTTTTTAACGATGATAAATTATATAAGTCTATTGTATTCCCCACAAAATATTAGTGAAGCTTGGAAAATATTTTCTCTGACATTGCTTGACCATAGTAAGGAAAAATTGAGAGGAGACTCAGGAAAACAATGACCGTTCATAAATAAAGATGTATTTGCAACAAATATATAAAAAAGTTACTTTCTACATACCTATGAAAAATTTTCTTTTTTCGGCTTAGTATATGGTGAGTAAAAATTCTCAACATATTTTTGACCATGTGAACCGTATGAACGAGCTTGGCTTGGGATGAGGTGGACCCAGGCTGGCCGGTTCAGGAGTCACTAATCAGTTTTTTTTCATTTAATTCATGCTATTAGCTATAGTTATGCTATACTACCATACTACCTTTTTCAGACAATTTTCTGACTCCTGGTTGTTGTGCATACTTGGACTGGTTTAATAGATGTCTTCAGTCCTAGGAGCAATACTTTTGTTTTTGTCGGGGAGAGTGGGATCTTCTGAGTCTCAGTGAGGGCAGTATGTCAGTAAACCAGAGAGTGGTCACTTTACGAGGTGTCCTGACTATGCGTACACGAATACAAGATTTCTAGACTTATTGAGATTCGAATCAAAGTTATGGCTATTTTCGAGGTGTGTGATGTCTATTTATTGTTACACCTACATGTGAAACTGCGTTAAGTATGTGGCGTTGTGACTTATCCTTGCTGGTTTAGCTTAATAGTGGATCTAGAGAATTTAAATTACGACGTCTTAAACTCAGCTACAGAGTGTAGCACTGTATGACCTCGGGTTTAGCTTTCACAAGTCATCATATGGAAACTAATTACCCGCATTTTTCGCAATCTTGTAATTAAGACGTACAGAGCCCAAATCTAATTCAAAGAAGATCAGTGTTCTAAACAATAATAGAAGTACAGTTGTATGGAATAAATAAATAATTAGCTACAGTTAGATCTCAATATATCTACGGTGTAAAGATGACTCATTTAAACTATCACGTGTATGGTGCTGATTCAGAGATTCTTATTGAGGTGTTGACCATATTATCAAATAAATGGAGACTGTTTTCCTATTATACCAAAAAAATAAACTCTTGCATTGCATACGAAGCATCAGCCATTACAAATACTGTGCCGTTCAAAGTTATATTTTTAATTGGAGGGAATTACGCTAACCTGCAGGGGTGTAAGTAGCGGTTGTGGTATGGAAGGCTCATTCCAGTTCGATTCAAGCAAGGAGATAAGTCCAGTTCTTTGGATATAAGTGCCCCTCACCATGCCTATAGTACTACGAACATCGTTACACAGTTTTTGGCATAAAATGCAAAACAAGCGATTATAACTCCAGAAAAAAAGTGGAGAGGTAAGTTTGAGGTGCTATGTTTCTCGTCACTGATAAAAGGTACTGAGTCTCACTCATGTATTTCTCTATTACTGTGTAGTTAGATACCCAAGGCACCTAGTGTATATCACCTTACTTTATGTCTTCCACTTGTGTCTGAATAACATCTCCCCCTCAGTCTGTCTTTCAAGAGAGTGTGGATTCAGACTCGTAGTCTATCTTGTTTGTAAGATTCTTTATACTACTTCTCTGTATGTTCTCCAGTGTATTGGCCTCTGTTCTATAGTAGGGAGACCAGAACTCCAAAGGTTATTCTATGTAAGACCTCTAAGCGAGGTTTATATAGAATAACCTTCGGATTCCTATTGCGTATGCTTCTCTACATTAGTTAAAATATCATAGTATGTTAGTCATATTACTCACACTTAAGCACTGTATATCAGTGGTAGTATATACTGATATATACGTTATGGACTATTGTGAAAATCTATGTTAGCAGTAAGTTTTGTGCTCCAAAATTAAGTTTCCGGATTTGAATATATATGTTACGGAAACAAACTTTGATAAATTAATCTTGGTTTAGCCAGAATGAAGTATACGTGGAGAAGGTTTTGAGGATCAACGCCCCCGCGGCCCGGTCTGTGACCAGGTCTCTTGGTGGATCAGGGCCTGATCAACCAGGCTGTTACTGCTGGCTGCACGCAAACCGACGTACGAACCACAGCCCCGCTGATCAGGTACTGACTCTGGTGCCTGGCCAATGCCTTCTTGAAGACAGCCAAGGGTCTACTGGTAATCCCCCTTGTGTATGCTGGGAGGCAGTTGAACAGTCTTGGGCCCCTGACAGAGTGGCAGAATGACTTATAAGGAGCTTACGTTACAAGTATAAAGCAAAAATCCATGGCTCCGAACACGGAATGACTAGGTCTAAATATCTGCTAAGTTAAATATCAACACAGCCCTGAATGACCCACACGAATTTAGTGTTTTTTGTTTTAATATAATAATACTAATCCCACTTTGGAGCAATACTTGATATCCTGCACTCGCAAACTCAGAGTGGATAATGAAGATAATCGGTAGCGTTCCAAAATGTATTATATCGTTATAGAATTCAGGTGCGATATCCTTGATGTTTGCTCCATCATGTAGTGATGCAATCCATGCCTCTAATTTTTCGTAGCTTTTGCACCGAGAGTATTGAGGAGGAAGGGGCTGGTGTGTGTTGAGTTGCTGCGGCAAACACCACATCACATTCTGGGCACCTCAGTAAGGGTCAAAAATGTAGGGTTTTGTGTAAATGTAGCTGTAGCCATTGGTCTTCCTCTTGGCGTTCTTGTGACGAGAACGGTTTCCAAACACATCCAACTTTCTTTGCATTTTGGCTCGCTTCTGTTGGCAAGAATACAAAGATAAAGTGAGTTTTGCATATCTGTTCCTATTGCTAGTAAGAGAAATGTCTATATCAGTAATTTCTGAAGCATTACGAATGTTAATGCTTCAGTGAAGTTTTTTTAGTTATCACTGTTATCATTATGAATTTGTGATTCAATCAATTAGTGTTTAAAATAGTTCATTTCTAGCAGCAACAGCAATATCCGTCCACCGAACACCACTCGCTGGACGAAATGACCACAAGGGTTTAGCGCTTAACTTAATAATAATAATAATAATAATAATAATAATAATAATAATAATAATAATAATAATAATAATAATAATAAATAATAATAATAATATTTAACTTGAGACTGGAAGACTTCATTACCTCAAGTAAGAAACCCATCCTGTGTAATGGAATATAACTGAAAACTCGTCCTGTGTGAAGTAGCAGGAGGGCAAATCCATCCTTTGTGATAAGTAACACAGGAATCATGACATGATACTATGTTGTGTAACTGGGCATGACAGTAAAACTATCCTGAATGATTATGAAAAGGATACCATCCTGTGTGATGGATGGTCGTAAATGATTGTAATGTATCTGCTAAAAAAAATTTGCTTAAGCAGCAAGCAGCACACTGTTAATTTGCCTGAATTTCATTAAACTTACGCTAATGTAAATGTCCATAACATTGTCTTGGTCTTCATCGTCAGTGGAAAAATGCATAGCCGCCTCCAGCTCACTCACTTTACAATTCTCATTCAGCTCACTCTCTTGGACGTTTACACTCTCGCATTGCATGGTTTCTTCAATATTTTGCTTGCTTGATTCTTCCTCTAGTAGATTTTTGTAACTGCGCTGGCTAAACTGAAAATGTTTTTGATGTTGTATGCCTTGAAGAGGTGAGCTGGTGTGTTGTTGTGTGAGGTCGCTGAGGTGGGAGATGATGTAGCGGTCGTCAGCGTCTTCCTCAACCAACAACCATCCATCAGGGCAGTCATCCCCTTCATAACTCTCACTCTTACCTGCTGCTGGGGGTAATGAGAAAGAAATATTACAAAATTATATTACCTCCAAGCAAGCCAGGATAAGTAAGGTAATGCTGCTGCATAAATAAAAATACTTTCGGCATCTTCAATTAGCCAGAAAAGAGTGAAACGCTTGTTGTTCCTTCGTCCCTGTCCTCCACATCGCTACCATGTCCGCCTTTTTATTTGGGACTTAGGACTTCCAAAGTTCATTATATGCGATTCAGAGCCTTGACTTCCTACATCCCATAGTACTTTGCATCCAATGATGGTTGTGGCGCATCTTGAGCAGGCACAAATATATCGTCTTGTTGGATCCGTGGACATTCCGTTGCTCTGGACAATAAACTCGCAGACTTTATTGTAAAGAGTACTCGGAACTGATCCTGCAACCTCTCTCATGAGAACTGGTAGTCTTACCTCACGGCTACGAGCTCTTTTCTTTTTCCAACAAATCCTTGACTGGTGAATGGCTTGTGAAATCCCGAGTTGGTGCTTAACTCACTTTTTTTTCGGAGGGAGGGTTATTTGAGGTAGGGAGGAAAGATTTTATGATAGACAAGCAACTCTTGATCATATAGTGTGTTTCTGGATCTGTTCCTAAATGCTCCTTACACACATTTGCTACTGAAACCTCCTTAATAAGCTGAAATGTTTATATCTATCGGACTGACATGAGCGAAAATGATAAATTATTATTAACAAGCGCTAAACTCGTATGGGTTATACAGGAAAGTTCTAAAGCTGACACGTGACGTACCAGCTTCAGAGGCGGTGATTGTGACGGTACTTGGAGCCCTTTTTCCTCAGGCCTTGGCGCTTGCTCCAGCCCCGCCTCTGTAAGTACACACCATTGCTTGTGATAGCTCTCGCCTGCTACAACATATGTCAAACTAGCGCAGTAGTTGCGAAATATATATTATTATATATATATAATATATATATATATATATATATATATATATATATATATAATATATATATATATATATATATATATATATATATATATATATATAATTATACTGTACACATCATATTTATAACAATGAATGCAGTGGTATTACAGCTGTGATTAAAGTACACTAATACGAAATTTGCAAGTAAATATATCTTGTTGCGTGTGTGTCCGTGTTAAATGGTCGCTGGGCGATCCGAGGAAGGTCTTCTCGTATTCTGTAAACCCAACCCCTTCTACCTTTATGTGAGCAAATAATAATATAAGTAATTAATATTACATTATGGATATATATATATATATATTATATATATATTATTATATATATATATATAATATATATATATATATATATATATATATATATATATATTATATATATATATATATATATGCAAAATGAGCCACAGGGGGGGATGGAAAGCACTAGCTCTAGGTCTTTCGCACTTCCGTGTTTTGTCAGGAGCTATGCAATGTTGCAAGAGTTGCGACAGGTTTTCTCAGAGATAGGGTTGTCTGTTACATGGCGTGTCCCAACATGTGTGTGTGCGTGTGTGTGTGTGTGTGTGTGTTTGTGTTTGTGTGTGTACTCACCTATTTGTAGCTGCAGGGATTGATTCGCAGGGGTTGATTCACAGCTGTTTTCTTTTTTTTTTTTTTGAGGGGGCGGGGGGGTTGTAGCTGTCAATTCTTAGATTCTGGCCCTGCCTCTTAACTTGCCACTCTCCAGATTCACTTCCTCTCAGCCTCGTGGGTCCTGCCTTACCTGATCTTCACTAAGTATGGAACCAGCCACCACCTCTTCCTGACCAAGATCATTCCCCTTCCCGATCACTCTGAGACTGAAGTACTTCTAACATCCCTGTGGCTCATCTGTGTCTTTAACTTCCAGTAGTGTCCCCGAACTCCCGCTTTTTATCGTTTCAAGCAGCCTGTCCCTGACCTTATCAATTCCCCTGAGTCTTTTGTACGCTGTTATCATGCCATTTGTCGTTCTTCTCTCCTATGTCGTTAGATTCAATTCCCTGTATGTGTGCGTGTGCATGTATACCTGTGGCGCACGAGCACGTGTAAAGTAACACTTACATTAATGCAGGAATTTAAAAGTTCGTCTTCGCTCTCAAATTCCAATTCGCTTTCATATTTCCGCCAGTTGTTACCGTCAGTGGCAAGGTAGTGAGACGATCCGTGGTGGAGGCTGGTGAAGCAGTGTGTGTTGAGGTGGTCCCCTGCCTCCGATGATGGGTGATGGTGTGGTGGTGGTGGGTGTTCACCCATCTTTAGCGAGTCCAGAGTAACACTGTGAGATACAGAACTTACTGCAGATGTCAAGCAAGGCAGAGGCGGCCACACCTCAGGGTCGAGGTGACCCACCTCGAAATGACTGTCATCAAAACGAATGACATCCTCGGTAGCGCACTTGAAATACGAGGGGCTTGGCAGAATGGGCATTATGGTTGGGCTACAGGAGGGACTGGCAGGTTCAGAGCTAGTATGGATTGTTGCTTCGCTACTGAGGGAGGGACTGTAGCACCTCATCGCCAGACCTATGTTCCCGCTGTCCTCGTTGCATGTTAACTCTGAAAAGCGTCCCGCCTCGTTCCCTACAAAATCTCCTGTTGGGTGAATGTGGAAATGCAATGTCATGTAAGCCAAGTAGTGTGAAAATCATTACATCAGTGTAATTACATAAATCTCTGAGCAGACTAGTATCGGCTGTACTGACTAAGGCTAGTTGAAGATAGTTATTACGGTGGCATACATACATACACACACACACACACACACACACACACACACACACACACACACACACACACACACACACACACACACACACACACACACACACACACACACACACACACACACGGGGACTCAGCATATCGTTCCTGACAATCAACTTCTTGGCATACGCTGCTAATTCACTCCTTTATCAGTTTTTGTGGTGGTCTTGAGGGCGTCTCGCTGTCCAGTTGACGTTTACCAGACGTATTAGTCTTCCTTAATTCAACCAGATGACTTTTAATCGCTTTCCTCAATACACTATTTTGGAAATCATCGCAGGAAGTATCTATATTATTCTTGAATTCGGTCAGCATTGACCTGACCATGTTGATTGCCTTAATATCCGGGAAATATCTCATTCTAATGCGGAACCAGTAGATGATATCAATGGAGTCGGTGAGCCCGGAGCTGACAACTATGTCCATGAATGCCAGGGCATGGTACGAGCAGGTACCCCCGCCCTGTCGTACACAGAGAATAGACCTTACTTTTGTGAAACAGGAGTGCTTTGTCACATATTCTGTTACTATTTCCAACCCGAGCTTCTAAGAACCACCACCGTTGTAGTATAGCAAGGTCCCATCTTGGCAGGCATATATTGAAACAACGTGAGGATGCCCACTAGTCAGGTATACACTACAACCATGGCCTTTGGGTAGAGGAGTCTGGCAGGAGAGTAGGTCCATGTCATCTAGTACTTTACACACTTTACCGAATGACCGAGTCGTGTTACAAAGTATGGTACGCATATCCTTAATGCTTAATGATTTGGTGGACTCCATGAGTGGGTGATAGTGTAGTACAGTGTAGTGTAGTATAGTGTAGTGTAGTATAGTGTAGTGTAGTATAGTGTAGTGTAGAGTAGTATAGTGTAGTGTAGTATAGTGTAGTGTAGTATAGTGTAGTGTAGAGTAGTGTAGTGTAGTATAGTGTAGTGTAGTATAGTGTAGTGTAGTATAGTGTAGTGTAGAGTAGTGTAGTGTAGTATAGTGTAGTGTAGTATAGTGTAGTGTAGTATATTGTAGTGTAGTATAGTGTAGTGTAGAGTAGTGTAGTGTAGTATAGTGTAGTGTAGTATAGTGTAGTGTAGTATAGTGTAGTGTAGTATAGTGTAGTGTAGTATAGTGTAGTGTAGTATAGTGTAGTGTAGTATAGTGTAGTGTAGTATAGTGTAGTGTAAATAATACGTGTAAATAATACGTTTTAGGCCAATAAATTAAGTAATATACATGGGAAGCTCTAAACCTGTAGTGTAGTGCAGTATAGTATAGTGTAGTGTAGTATAGTATAGTGTAGTGTAGTGTAGTATAGTATAGTGTAGTGTAGTATAGTATAGTGTAGTGTAGTGTAGTATAGTGTAGTGTAGTGTAGTATAGTGTAGTGTAGTGCAGTATAGTATAGTGTAGTGTAGTATAGTATAGTGTAGTGTAGTGTAGTATAGTGTAGTGTAGTGTAGTATAGTGTAGTGTAGTGCAGTATAGTATAGTGTAGTGTAGTGTAGTATAGTGTAGTGTAGTATAGTATAGTGTAGTGTAGTGTAGTGTAGTGTAGTGCAGTATAGTATAGTGTAGTGTAGTATAGTATAGTGTAGTGTAGTGCAGTATAGTATAGTGTAGTGTAGTGTAGTGTAGTATAGTGTAGTGTAGTATAGTATAGTGTAGTGTAGTGTAGTATAGTGTAGTGTAGTGCAGTGTAGTGGGTGTCACTAGCACGTTAAGAGACCATACAATAAGTGTCAGGGGCCCGAGACTGTTCAACTGCCTCCCAGCACACATAAGGGGGATTACCAACAGACCCCTGGCAGTCTTCAAGCTGGCACTGGACAAGCACCTAAAGTCAGTTCCTGATCAGCCGGGCTGTGGCTCGTACGTTGGTTTGCGTGCAGCCAGCAGCAACAGCCTGGTTGATCAGGCGCTGATCCACCAGGAGGCCTGGTCACAGACCGGGCCGCGGGGGCATTGACCCCCGAAACTCTCTCCAGGTAAACTCCAGGTAGTGCAGTATAGTATAGTGTAGTGTAGTGTAGTGTAGTGTAGTGTAGTATAGTATAGTGTAGTGTAGTATAGTATAGTGTAGTGTAGTATAGTATAGTGTAGTGTAGTGTAGTATAGTGTAGTGTAGTGCAGTATAGTATAGTGTAGTGTAGTATAGTATAGTGTAGTGTAGTGTAGTATAGTGTAGTGTAGTGCAGTATAGTGTAGTGTAGTGTAGTATAGTGTAGTGTAGTGTAGTGTAGTATAGTGTAGTGTAGTATAGTGTAGTGTAGTGCAGTATAGTGTAGTGTAGTGTAGTATAGTGTAGTGTAGTGAAGTATAGTGTAGTGTAGTATAGTGTAGTGTAGTGTAGTATAGTGTAGTGTAGTGTAGTATAGTATATTGTAGTGTAGTATAGTATAGTGTAGTGTAGTGTAGTGTAGTGTAGTGTAGTGCAGTATAGTGTAGTGTAGTGAAGTGTAGTGTAGTATAGTGTAGTGTAGTATAGTGTAGTGTAGTATAGTGTAGTGTAGGATAGTGTAGTGTAGTGTAGTGTAGTATAGTGTAGTGTAGTGTAGTATAGTGTAGTATAGTGTAGTATAGTGTAGTGTAGTATAGTGTAGTGTAGTGTAGTGTAGTATAGTGTAGTGAAAAGAAGGGGTGTCACTAGCACGTTAAGAGACCATACAATTAGTGTCAGGGGCCCGAGACTGTTCAACTGCCTCCCAGCATACATAAGGGGGATTACCAACAGATCCCTGGCAGTCTTCAAGTTGGCACTGGAAAAGCACCTAAAGTCGGTTCCTGATCAGCCGGGCTGTGGCTCGTACGTTGGTTTGCATGCAGCCAGCAGTAACAGCCTGGTTGATCAGGCTCTGATCCACCAGGAGGCCTGGTCATAGACCGGGCCGCGGGGGCGTTGACCCCCGGAACTCTCTCCAGGTAAACTCCAGGTAGTGTAGTGTAGTATAGTGTAGTGTAGTGTAGTACAGTGGAGTATAGTGTAGTATAGTGTAGTGTAGTTAGTTTAGTTTAATATGTTTATTATGCACCCCATGATAAGCAAAGAATATTCGTATAGCAACATTATGGTAGGGACTGAAATTAATTTGCTGGTTGGAATTGTATTTTCAATATTCGAACACTTTCAGACTACTTTTTTTTTTTTTGCTTTCGTGTAAATAATACGTTTTATGCCAATAAATTAAGTAATATACATGGGAAGCTCTAAACCTGTAGGGGTAATAAAGCTCCTAACAAGAATTAAAACAACGAAAGGTAATTATTATTTAGATTTATGAAGCTGGTGTTAACTTACGCCATATCAACAACCTGTGGCCATCCACCATAAAATTATCAAGTACCCCTATAGTGATTCTCTGAATTTTCAGGTACCGCCGGGAAACGTCTGAGGAAACCTAGGATGAGGGAATATTATTATATTTTTCCCACTTTCTTTGTCTCCTTAAAGCTGGTTATGTGATCCATTCAAGATGTGTATCCCGTCTTAATTATGGGTCTCATGCCTATCACGTCACTGGAAAAAACTTCAACATTTCTGTTACCTGTAACATAGACAAAGTCATCATCGCTGTCCACAGACTCTGGCCGCACCTCTGCCATGATGGTACCTTCACTGCCTCGCCCAACAACACACGTCTCCCTCGCCACCACTGTCAGCCGAGCTGCAAGAAGATACATTTGCATTTTTTATGTGAAGCAATAAACCAGTGTGTGCCATTAAGCACAATGAGTGGTGGAGGCTCGAACCTGTCTTGAATGTACGCTGGTGAATCTACTACCTCCCAGTAGATTGCATTTCCTGCCCACCCATGACTCGCTACCCTGCCTTCCATTTCACTGGATTACTTCAAATATCGGTTGTTTGTGTTATTTGCCAATTGATAGCTATGCCTTATGCATAATTATGTCCTTATTATTACCATTAAGTTTATGTGTGATACGCCATTCAAATGGTAATCCTCATGGGAACATAACCCCGACTCTGTTGGATTATTATTATAATAAAAAAGAAGCGCTAAGCCACAAGGGCTATACAGCGCTGCAGGGCAGGAAGGAAGCGAGGGTATCAGGTGGCTAAAGGGAGATGGATGAGTTGGAAAGTTCCGTAATTACACAATACATAACGAAATGTTTAAGGAAATCCCCACCGTCCAACTCAAGATTCCCAGGTCAAGTTGACGGATTTTATTACCACATGCATGATTCCCAGGTGAAGTTGACGGATTTTATTACCACATGCATGATTCCCAGGTGAAGTTGACGGATTTTATTACCACATGCATGATTCCCAGGTCAAACTGACATATTTTATTGTACCATGCAAGACAGTCATCCTGTGCAAGAGTCCATGACAAAAATCATCCTGCTACTATAATTTGCCTAATTAAATTCAAATATATAACGAACTCATTAATATTAATAGTGAAGAAAAAGACACATTTTGGGGAAAAACTTTTATTGGAACAATCTTTCAGCTTGTTAGATCAAGTTGACACGTTGTCCCAGTTAAAGCTGTGGTCAGTGTGGTACACTCATACATACCTCCACTGAGCTGTGGTCAGTGTGGTACACTCATACATACCTCCACTGAGCTGTGGGTCAGTGGGGTACACTCATACATACCTCCACTGAGCTGTGGTCAGTGTGGTACACTCATACATACCTCCACTGAGCTGTGGTCAGTGTGGTACACTCATACATACCTCCACTGAGCTGTGGTCAGTGTGGTACACTCATACATACCTCCACTGAGCTGTGGTCAGTGGGGTTTACACTCATACATACCTCCACTGAGCTGTGGTCAGTGGGTACACCCCATACATCCCCTCCACTGACTGTGGTCAGTGTGGTAAACTCATACATACCTCCACTGAGCTGTCGTCACTGTGGTAACACTCATACATACCTCCATGAGCTGTGGTCACGTGGGTACACTCATACATACCTCCACTAAAGCTGTGGTCAGTGTGGTACACTCATACATACCTCCACTGAGCTGTGGTCAGTGGGGTTTACACTCATACTACCTCCACTGAGCTTTTGGTCAGTGTGGTACACTCATACATACCTCCACTGAGCTGTGGTCCCTGTGGTACACTCATACATACCTCCACTGAGCTGTGGTCACTGTGGTACACATACGTACCTCCACTGAGCTGTGGTCACTGTGGTACACATACGTACCTCCACTGAGCTGTGGTCACTGTGGTACACTCATGCATACCTCCACTGAGCTGTGGTCACTGTGGTACACTCATACGTACCTCCACTGAGCTGTGGTCACTGTGGTACACTCATACATACCTCCACTGAGCTGTGGTCACTGTGGTACACTTATACGTACCTCCACTGAGCTGTGATCAGTGTGGTACACTTATACGTACCTCCACTGAGCTGTGGTCATTGTGGTACATTCATACGTACCTCCACTGAGTTGTGGTCACTGTAGTACACTTATACGTACCTCCACTGAGCTGTGATCAGTGTGGTACACTTACACGTACCTCCACTGAGCTATGGTCACTGGGTACACTCATACGTACCTCCACTGAGCTGTGGTCACTGTGGTACACTCATACGTGCCTCCACTGAGCTGTGGTCACTGTGGTACACTCATACGTACCTCCACTGAGCTGTGGTTACTGTGGTACAACTCATCGTACCCCACTGAGCTGTGGTTACTGTGGTACACCCCTACATACCTCCATGAGCTGTGGTCACTGTGGTACACTCATACGTACCTCCACTGAGCTGTGGTCACTGTGGTACACTCATACATACCTCCACTGAGCTGTGGTCACTGTGGTACACTCATACATACCTCCACTGAGCTGTGGTCACTGTGGTACACATACGTACCTCCACTGAGCTGTGGTCACTGTGGTACACATACGTACCTCCACTGAGCTGTGGTCACTGTGGTACACTCATGCATACCTCCACTGAGCTGTGGTCACTGTGGTACACTCATACATACCTCCACTGAGCTGTGGTCACTGTGGTACACTCATACGTACCTCCACTGAGCTGTGGTCACTGTGGTACACTCATACATACCTCCACTGAGCTGTGGTCACTGTGGTACGCTCATACATACCTCCACTGAGCTGTGGTCACTGTGGTACACATACGTACCTCCACTGAGCTGTGGTCACTGTGGTACACATACGTACCTCCACTGAGCTGTGGTCACTGTGGTACACTCATGCATACCTCCACTAAGCTGTGGTCAGTGGTACACTCATACGTACCTCCACTGAGCTGTGGTCACTGGGGTACACTCATACATACCTCCACTGAGCGTGGTCACTGTGGTAAAAACTTATACGAACCTCCACGAGCTGTGATCAGTGTGGTACACTATACTTTACCTCCACTGAACTGTGGTCATTGTGGTACATTCGTACGAAACCTCCACTGATTTTTGTGGTCACTGTAGTACACTTTTACGTAACCCTCCCTGAGCTTGATCAGTTTTGGACACTTAAAACGTACCTCCACTGAGCTATGGTCACTGGGTAAACTCTTTACGTACCTCCACTGAGCTGGTGGTCCCCTGTGGTACAACTCATACGTGCCTCCACTGAGCTGTGGTCACTGTGGTAGGGTCATACTAACACTCCACTGAGCTGTGGTCACTGTGGTACACTCATACGTACCTCCACTGAGCTTGGTCACTGTGGTACACTCAAACATACCCCCCACTGAGCTGTGGTCACTTGTGGTACATTTTATACGTACCTCCACTGAGCTGTGATCAGTGTGGTAAAACTTATACGTACCTCCACTGAGCTGTTGGTCATGTGGTACATTCATTTACGTACCCCCACTGAGTTGTGGTCACTGTAGTACACTTATACGTACCCCCACTGAGCTGTGATTCAGTGTGGTACCCTTACACGTACCTCCACTGAAGCTATGGTCACTGGTAACCCCATACAAACCTCCACTGAGCTGTGGTCATTTTGTGGTTACACTCATACGTGCCTCCACTGAGCGCTGGTCACGGAAAGTACACTCATACGTACCTCCCACTGAGCTGTGGTACACTGTGGAAACACTCATACGTACCTCCAACTGAGCTGTGGTCACTGTGGTACACTCATACAAAACCTCCACGGGAGCTGTGGTCCACTGTGGTACACTTAACGTACCCCCACTGAAGCTGTGATCAGTGTGGTACACTTATACGTACCTCCACTGAGCTGTGGCATTGTGGTACATTCATACGTACCTCCACTGAGTTGTGGTCACTGTATACACTTATTATACCTCCACTGAGCGTGATCAGTGTGGTACCTTACACGTACCTCCACTGAGTTTATGGTCACTGGGTACCCCTCATACGTACCTCCATGAGCTGTGGTCACTGTGGTACACTCATTTGCCTCCACTGAGCGTGGTCACGGTTAGTACAATCATACGTACCTCCACTGAGCTGTGGTCACTGTGGTACACTCATACGTACCTCCACTGAGCTGTGGTCACTGTGGTACACTCATACTTTCCTCTACTGAGCTGTGGTACACTCATACGCACCTCCACTGAGCTGTGGTACACTCATACGTACCTCCACTGAGTTGTGGTCACTGTGGTACACTCACATGTACCTCCACTGAACTGATACACTCACGTACCTCCATTGAACTCTGATACACTCACCCGCACCTCCACTGAGCTGTGGTACACTGACACTCATACGTACCTCCACTGAGCTGTGGTTATTGAGGTGCACTCTATTATACATACGTTCATCTACTGAGCTGTAATCACCATGGTGCACTGTTATACTCATAGATTCCTTCCACAGAAGAAGTGAGCTGTGGTCACTGCGGTACGCTCACACGTACCTAAAAATGACCTGCAGTCACTGGTACACTCACGTACCCCTAGTGCGCTGTGATAGTTACATTCATACGTACGTCCTCTGAATTGTTGTATACTGCTACACTTACACGTACCTCCACTGAACTATAGTACACTGCTACACTTATGCGTACCTCCACTGAACTATGGTACACTGCTACACTTATACCTACCTCCCACGAACATGGTACACGCTACACTTTACCTACCTCCACTGAACATGGTAACTGCTCCCACTTACACGTACCCCCACTGAACTATTGGTACACTCCCTTACACTTACACGTACCCCCTGGAGTTTACCTGGAGAGAGTTCCGGGGGGCCCAACCCCCCGGGCCCCCGGTCGGCCCGGCCCCCTGGTGGATAAAGGGCCTGATAAACCATGTTGGCTGGCTGAGCAAACCAACGTACGAGCCACACCCCGGGTGATCAGGAAGACTTTAGGTTTTTCCCAGTGCCAGCTTGAAGACTGCCAGGGTCTGTTGGTAATCCCCCTTATGTGTCTGAGGGGCAGTTGAAAAGTTCCGGGCCCCTGACTTTTGTATGGTCTCTTAAAGTGCGTGACACCCCCGCTTTTTATTGGGGGGATGTTGCAAACGTTTCCCAAATCTTTTGCTTTGTGTGAGGATTTTCGTGTGCAAGTTTGGTATAGTCCCTCTGGTTTTTTCCCGGGTAAAAATCATGTATCCTCCCCCCATGAACTATGGTACACTCCACTTTATACCTCCAATGAACTATGGGACACTGCTACACTTTAGTACCCCCCTGTTTTTGGGACCTGCTACATTAAGTATCCACTGAACATGGACACTGTAACTTTCCCTACTCAAATGAACTAAGGGACCTTACACTTATCGTACCTTCTTGAACTAGGACACTGCTAACTTAAGTCCCACGAACTATGGTTTCACGCTACACTTACACGTACCTCCACTGAAAATAAGGCACACTGCACACTTTTAAAAGTACCCCAGAACTAGGGAAAACTGCACATTATCTACCCCAGAACTTGTCATGCTACATTTTAAGTACCCCACTGAATATGGGAAAATGCTACCTTATACGTACTTCACTGAACTATGGTACACTGTACACTTATAGTACCCCACTGAATATGGTACTTGCTACACTTACACGACCCCAGAATATGGGACACTGCACATTAACAACCCCCACTGAACTTTTGGTAATTATAGTACCCCCATGAACTATGGTAACGCTCACTTAAGTACCTCCCCTGAACTTGGGCATTAATTTGTTCTCCCCCTGAACGGTACACTTATAGTACCCCATTGAATTGGTACCTTATACGTACCCCCCTGAAAAATGGAACTTACCTCCACTGAACTTTGGACTTACCCCCACTGAAATATGGTTTCACTTTCCCCCACTGAATTGGGACTTACCTCCACTGAACTATGGGGAAATTATCCCCGAACTTTGGTAATTACCCCCACTGAAAAAGGTAACCTTTCCCATGAATTAAAGGTACATTACCTCATGAACTATGGTAATTTTCCTCCACTGAACTATGGTACACTTCCCCCACTGAAAATGGTACCTTACTCCACGAAAATAGGTACATTACCTCTGAACTATGGTACACTTACCCCCACTGAAATATGGGCACTTACCTCCATGAACTAAGGTACACTTACCTCCCCTGAACTATGGTACACTTACCCCATGAACTATGGACACTTACCTCCACTGAAATGGTCACTTCTCCCCTGAAATGGGACACTTACCCCCACTGAATTGGACACTTCTCCATGAAATGGGACACTTCCTCCACTGAACTTGGTACATTACCTCCCCTGAACTATGGTACACTTACCCCCACTGAATATGGTACACTTCCCATTTAACTTGGACACTTTCCCCCTGAATATGGTACACTTACCCCCAGAAAATATGGTACACTTTCCCCCACGGGAAATTGGTACATTACCCATGAACTATGGTACATTACCCCCCTGAACTTGGTACACTTACCTCCCTGAATATGGTACCTAACCTCCCCTGAACTAGGACACTTACCTACTGCAAAACTCCGGCCATGGAAAACCCGGGTAGCCCCAAACCCCTCAAGAGGGGGAGGTTTTTTAGTGCCAGGAAGGAAAAAAAACTGGCAGGGAAAAGGGAGAAATTTGACACCAAAACCCGTCATTCCCGGAGTGGACCACAGTCGATGGTCCACTCCAAAACCAAATACAGAAATCCGGAAAAAAAATCCCCCCCAGTACCAACAATCCCACCAGCCCGATAACATTCTTCTTTGCAATATACAGGGTCTAAAGCCAGCAACAAACAACAAAATACCTTTCATCCGTGGACTGTTTGCAAGGCAAAGGCAATGTTCGCGGCTTTCACTGAGACCCACAAAAGGATCACTTAGCCCAACGAAATATGGATCCCAGGTTACAACCTATACGATGTGACAAGTGAACAGGCAAAAGGGGGGGGTTGGCCTGTACATTGCAGAGTCACTTGTTTGCACAGAACTGCTAAATGCCTCAAATGATGTAGTGGAAGTTTTAGCAGTAAAGGTCGAGAACAAAACCTAGTCATTGTGGTAGTCTAAAAAGCCTCCGGATGAAAATCCCAGCAATTCCAGGAACAGCTGTTTAAAAATTGACCACTGTCGGGAAAAACCTTCCAGCTCTGCACCCAACATCTTGCTCCTGGGGGATTTCAACTTAAGGCACCTAAAATGGAGGAATATAGCAAAAAATTTATTGTTGCAGTAATAACACAGGAGGCAGCTCTGAGAAAACTCACACTCACACGAGCTTTTAAATCTCTGCACAAAATTCAATTTAAACCAGCAAATAATAGACCCTACTAACTGGAGAATACACTAGACTCATCTTCACTAACAATGATGATCTGAAAAGAAATATCCCATATCAAAAAATATACTCAGATCACAACATAATTGAGGTTCAGACATGTATGCGCGGAGCCCCAGACAAACATAATGAGATTAGTCACGAGGGAGCTTTTCACCAAATTCAACTTCAATAACAAAAACATAAAGTGGGCCCAAGAAAACCCAAGTCCTAACCGATATAAGCTGGGAAGATATACTAAGCAACACAGACCCCAACTTATGCTAGAACAGATTAACTCGGTAGCACTCGATGTATGCAAAAGGCTTATTCCTCTAAGAAAAGGAGGAGTAAATGTAAAACTGAAAAAACAGGCGCTCCCTTTACAGGCGACGGAAAAAAATAACAGAGCGGCTAAAAGAGGTCAATATATCTGAAATGCGTAGGGAGACACTGGTCAGAGAAATAGCAAGCATCGAACTTAAGCTAAAAGAATCCTTTAGGATCAGGAATCGCGGGAAGAACTAAAAAGCCATAAATGAAATCGAAAGAAACCCCAAAATATTTCTTCTCCTATGCCAAATCAAAATCGAGAACAACGTCCAGTATTGGGCCCCCTACTTAAACAAGATGGGTCCTACACAGATGACAACAAGGAAATGAGTGAGCTACTCAAGTCCCAATATGACTCAGTTTTTTAGCAGCCCCTAACCAGACTGAGAGTCGAAGATCAAAATGAATTTTTTATGAGAGAGCCACAAAAATTTGATTAACACAAGCCTATCCGATGTTATCCTGACGCCAAATGACTTCGAACAGGCGATAAATGACATGCCCTGCACTCTGCCCCAGGGCCAGACTCATGGAACTCTGTGTTCATCAAGAACTGCAAGAAGCCCCTATCACGAGCCTTTTCCATCCTATGGAGAGGGAGCATGGACACGGGGGTCGTCCCACAGTTACTAAAAACAACAGACATAGCCCACTCCACAAAGGGGGCAGTAAAGCAACAGCAAAGAACTACAGACCAATAGCACTAACATCCCATATCATAAAAATCTTTGAAAGGGTCCTAAGAAGCAAGATCACCACGCATCTAGAAACCCATCAGTTACACAACCCAGGGCAACATGGGTTTAGAACGGGTTTCGCTCCTGTCTGTCTCAACTATTGGACCACTACGACAAGGTCCTAAATGCACTAGAAGACAAAAAGAATGCAGATGTAATATATACAGACTTTGCAAAAGCCTTCGACAAGTGTGACCATGGCGTAATAGCGCACAAAATGCGTGCTAAAGAATAACAGGAAAAGTCGGTCGATGGATCTATAATTTCCTCACTAACAGAACACAGAGAGTAGTCGTCAACAGAGTAAAGTCCGAGGCAGCTACGGTGAAAAGCTCTGTTCCACAAGGCACGGTACTCGCTCCCATCTTGTTCCTCATCCTTATATCCGACATAGACAAGGATGTCAGCCACAGCACCGTGTCTTCCTTTGCAGATGACACCCGAATCTGCATGACAGTGTCTTCCATTGCAGACACTGCAAAGCTCCAGCAGACATCAACCAAATCTTTCAGTGGGCTGCAGAAAACAATATGAAGTTCAACGATGAGAAATTTCAATTACTCAGATATGGTAAACATGAGGAAATTAAATCTTCATCAGAGTACAAAACAAATTCTGGCCACAAAATAGAGCGAAACACCAACGTCAAAGACCTGGGAGTGATCATGTCGGAGGATCTCACCTTCAAGGACCATAACATTGTATCAATCGCATCTGCTAGAAAAATGACAGGATGGATAATGAGAACCTTCAAAACTAGGGAGGCCAAGCCCATGATGACACTCTTCAGGTCACTTGTTCTATCTAGGCTGGAATATTGCTGCACACTAACAGCACCTTTCAAGGCAGGTGAAATTGCCGACCTAGAAAATGTACAGAGAACTTTCACGGCGCGCATAACGGAGATAAAACACCTCAATTATGGGAGCGCTTGAGGTTCCAAACCTGTATTCCCTGGAACGCAGGAGGGAGAGATACATGATTATATACACCTGGAAAATCCAGAGGGACTAGTACCGAACTTGCACACGAAAATCACCCACTACGAAAGCAAAAGACTTGGCAGACGATGCACCATCCCCCCAATGAAAAGCAGGGGTGTCACTAGCACGTTAAGAGACCATACAATAAGTGTCAGGGGCCCGAGACTGTTCAACTGCCTCCCAGCACACATAAGGGGGATTACCAACAGACCCCTGGCAGTCTTCAAGCTGGCACTGGACAAGCACCTAAAGTCAGTTCCGGATCAGCCGGGCTGTGGCTCGTATGTTGGTTTGCGTGCAGCCAGCAGCAACAGCCTGGTTGATCAGGCTCTGATCCACCAGGAGGCCTGGTCTCAGACCGGGCCGCGGGGGCGTTGACCCCCGGAACTCTCTCCAGGTAAACTCCAGGTAAACTGAACTATGGTACACTTACCTCCACTGAACTATGGTACACTTACCTCCACTGAACTATGGTACACTTACCTCCACTGAACTATGGTACACTTACCTCCACTGAACTATGGTACACTTACCTCCACTGAACTATGGTACACTTACCTCCACTGAACTATGGTACACTTACCTCCACTGAACTATGGTACACTTACCTCCACTGAACTATGGTACACTTACCTCCACTGAACTATGGTACACTTACCTCCACTGAACTATGGTACACTTACCTCCACTGAACTATGGTACACTTACCTCCACTGAACTATGGTACACTTACCTCCACTGAACTATGGTACACTTACCTCCACTGAACTATGGTACACTTACCTCCACTGAACTATGGTACACTTACCTCCACTGAACTATGGTACACTTACCTCCACTGAACTATGGAACACTGCTACACTTATACGTACCCCAATGAGCTGTGGTCACTAAAACACACTCAGTTACACCATGGCCTCTATACTGTCGAAGACGCTCACAGCTCCACCTACATATATATGTATCACCCTGACCAACTTGACAGGTGCCAATTCGTGTTAATATTAGTTATTTGGAACGCGATTTAAGAGATTGGAGTACAGTTTTTTTTTTTCTAAATGCGAATACTTTCAAAAACAGAAGTTAAGATTATAAATAAATAAGGAAGACAGGCCTAATGTTAATAAAGAGCATTTAATATTGCATCACGTTAAGGTAAGATAGCAGGAGTATTGACTAGGTTTGCAACATGTTGGTTCCATGATAGATATGGGTTTTGGACGTGGGTTTTTTAATACATGTTATGTGTAGGCTTGCAACATGTTGTTCAGTGATAGATATGGGTTTTGGACGTGGCTGGCTGTGAAAGTATGTCAATATTTGTCTCTTATATGCACCTATTTCTAGCTATGTATAAGTGAAATTTGTGCTCATCTTATTTAATCCACTTACTGTATACATTAATAATGTTTGGCAGTAGTTGCAGTACACATTTCTTCCTCATTGATCACAGTCTAGTGTATTACACCATGTTACGCAGTCAATATTGTCTCTGTGAAGTTAAACTATGTTCCTCCTGGCCCATTCTTGATTAATTTGTCATTTTCTCTCACTTTCATAATAAATAACATTGTAGGACACCATCAGGAGTGTAATTATCTATTTTTGTTAACGTGGAAAGGTCTAGCTCTTGGACCCGTCTCATAACTTAGGAATAGCTGACCTAAATTAGTTTTATTTTCTTTACACTTAAGTTGTGTATGATGTCAGTGTTCATAGTGCTACTGTAAGAGGCATCAAGGCAGGTTGTTCCCGAGGCTCATGCCTATTTATTAGGCATGAGCCTAAGATTAAGATAATGATTAAGATAAAGGACTGTATTGGAAGGAAGTCACTTTGTCCAGCCTTTTTTTATTATTTTTTTTGGGGGGGCTATCCTAGGTAATCTACACATATGCTGCTATGTATGATAAGTTCTTCTTCTTTCAACAAACCGCCCGTATCCCACCGAGGCAGGGTGGCCCAAAAAGAAAAACGAAAGTTTCTCTTTTTAAATTTAGTAATTTATACAGGAGAAGGTGTTACTAGCCCCTTGCTCCCGGCATTTCCGTCGCCTCTTACAACACGCATGGCTTACGGAGGAAGAATTCTGTTCCACTTCCCCATGGAGATAAGAGGAAATAAACAAGAACAAGAATTAGAAAGAAAATAGAAGAAAACTCAGAGGGGTATGTATATCTATGCTTGTACATGTATGTGTAGTGTGACCTAAGTGCAAGTAGAAGTAACAAGATATACCTGAAATCTTGCATGTTTATGAGACAGAAAAAAGACACCAGCAATCCTACCATCGTGTAAAACAATTACAGGCTTCCGTTTTACACTCCGCAGGACGGTAGTACCTCCCTGGGCGGTTGCTGTCTACCAACCTACTACCTAGGATAAGTTATGTAATTGTATTTATGCGTAACTGTACCTGAATGAACTTACTGTAAAGATAAGCTATAAGTATCTCTAGTAGTGTGGTTTATAAAAAGATGTGGACAGAAACAGGGTCATACAGTGTAAACCCCATTGGATAGAATCATCTAATGATTATAATCATAAACATAATTTTTCATGGGGGGTGGAAGGGTAAACCAGCTGAAGGTCTCAGTCAGATGACCAAAAGTTCCAGCTGCGGGTCATCATATGACTAAGACCCACGTCAGGAAACATTTGTCCTGTTTCCAGACAAACTTTACCTAACCTAACCTACAGGATATGGCAAAACATATGATTGTTAATAATAAAATATCTGAAAGCTTGAAACTAGATTCACATTTTGTGTCGACCAGATGAATGAATTGTTTTTGAGGAGACTACAACCCAGTAATAACTAATGGTTTAGTGGTAATGAGGTATGAAAAACTCTAATATATGAATTTACTGTAATAGTATATTGTTTGTGGTGTAATATACCCAGTGGGGACTGATAAATACCCATTGTTTCTTCTACAATCCTGTTTTTTTTTTTTTTTTTTTTTTTTGCTACAGCTCAAAGGATGTGCTGCGAGCGCACAATTAACTAGCCACTCAATTGTCACAACTAAAACTAACCGTTTCTTTCTTTCTTTCTCTCTCTTTTTTTTTTTTTTTTTTTTTTTGAGGAAACTAATTCATTCTCCAGACTTTTTTGAATAGGTCAAACACGACACCAATTGTCGTAGTTCTCCCAAATACAGCAGTAAGGAGTTGACGTTTCGGACTTATACGAATATCTCGGTTTATCCCCTACCTTAAGCAACGGTACCGATTGTTTCCTGTTTTATTACCCTGAAACTTTTGTCTTCATCATAAAGTGCACACAATGTTGGGCAATTGATCGGGGCTTCATTCATCAGCACTTTCTAGGCCATAGCACAGCCTGTTGTTGTTAATTCAGCTGGAGAAAAAGGTGTCTGGCTTTGCCTGAGTTTTAAGCAAAGGGTCCACCTGACCTACTTGGGAACTTATTGTTATTGCTTCTCTTTTCGGAGAAAACCCTGTTGCCTTTATAATTTCCTCCCAGATTGCTCACAAACAGTGTCCAGAATATCTTGCTGCCAATATTGTCAAGGCTGGGAACCAAAGTAATCATAGTACCCACAGTCAGTGGCCAGTCTTCAAATACATTTTATTGTACAGCAATAAAGGTATGGAACAAACTGCCTGCACATGTCAAAGCCAGTCATAGCTTAAGCCAGTTCAGGAAGAGAGCCAAAAGGTGCCTTATGAATGTCACGACAGAAAGGGAGGAAAATTATTTTTTTTATTTTTTTAGCTAATTCATTATTATTATTATTATTATTATTATTATTATTATTATTATTATTATTATTATTATTATTATCATTATTATTATTATTATTATTATTATTATTATTATTATTATTATTATTATTATTATTATTATTATTATTAGTATCATTATTATTATTATTATCATTATTATTATTATCTTTATTTACTACAAGTACATGTACAAGGTATACAGACCTAGCTGATATCAATGACATACTATTGTATAGAAAGCCCCTCGTTATGCAGAGTATTTAGGGCAAATTAGGCCAATTTTGTCCCAGGATACGACCCACACCAGTCGATTAACACCCAGGTACCCATTTTACTGATGGGTGACATACACAACTAGTGTAATGAAACACGTCCACTGTTTCCATCCCTTCACCGGGAATCAAACCCGGAGATCACCGTGTGAAACGAGAGCTTTTGCCACGAGTCCACGGGGCACCACAAAATACAAATAACTCATTTTACCTTATTCCTAGTATATCTCCTTTATAGTATAATAATAAAAAAATATCTCTTTTATAGTATAATAATATGGTATTAAAAGGACCCCAATGGAAATAAGTCACTTTGTCTTCTTTGGGTTATCCCAGGTTTTCTACACATATGAGGGTTTAGCGCTTCTGCCTTGATTATAATAATAATAATCTACACATATGCTGCTATGTATGATAATCTATGTAACTGTATTTGTGTATACTTGAATAAACTTACTTACTAGGCTTTCATAACCCTTAACAACCCCAACAACAACAACAACATGAAGTTCTTATGTCTGTGTGGTTAAAACGTTTATTTTTTTTTTATTTTATTCAGTGTACAACAATGATGTGAGGTAATCAATATAAGGTCTTTTTTGTGAATATAACAGTATAAACATTAGTTAAGTTTATTTAGGTACGGGTACACAAATACAAGTGCCTAAATGCCGATGAAGGGCTCTTGATCCCATGAACTGGACTTATCCTCCCCTTCCATGGATCATACCTGAATGCCTCCCATATCCCAGGCACCATGTAACCCCCAGCGGATTTAGCACTTCCCCTTAATTAAAATAAAAAATAACAACCAGGAGTCAAAACCCTGGATGATGTAGGTACTCGCCTGATTGTGGTTGCAAGGATCGAGACTCAGCTCCTGGCCCCAGTTACAGAGCAGTAAATGGTCAACTTGTGAGTTTCATCCTGGGAAGGACCTAAAAATGACCCCAATGGAAATAAACGACATTTCTTGGCTTTCGTAGGCTATCCTGCATTATCAATCCTCCAATCTCGCCTTCAAAGACCACAACAACGCATCTACCTCATCTGCTAGGAAAATGATAGGATGGATAATAAGAACCTTCAAAACTAGGGACCCCAAGCCCAAGATGATCCTCTTCAAATCGCTTGTTCTCTCTAGACTGGGATACTACTGTACACTAACGGCCCCCTTCAAGGCTGGAGACATTGCAGACCTGGAGAGCGTACAAAGAACTTTCACAGCAAACATAAGTATGATAAGGCACCTGTATTCCCTGGAACACAGGTGAGAGATACATGATAATATACACTAGGAAGGTTCTGGAGGGATTGGTACCAAACTTGCACACGAAAATCACTCCCTATGCAAGCAAAAGACTTGGCAGGAGATGCAACATTCCCCTGATGAAAAGCAGGGGGTGCCACAAATACATTGAGAGACAACACAGTAAGTGTCCAGGGCTGTTCAACTGCCTCCCAGCATACATAAGGGGGATTACCAATAGACCCCTGGCTGTCTTCAAGAAGGCACTGGACAGGTACCTGAAGTCAGTACCTGACCAACCGGGCTGTGGTTCGTACGTCAGTTTGCATGTGGCCAGCAGTAACAGCCTGGTTGATCTTACCCTGATCCACCATGAAGCCTGGTCTCAGACCGAGCCGCAGGAAAGTTGACCCCCCAAACCCTCTCCAGGTAAACTCCACGGTTTATAAACTGAATGAAGTCCTTTCCTTTGTGTTTCCTATGAAGGGATTTTGTGTTTCTTCTTTCTACAAACTAGCCGTATCCCAACGAAGCAGGGTGAACCAAAAAAGAAAAACAAAAGTTTCTCTTTTTTTTAACTTTAGTAATGTATACAGGAGAAGGGGGTTATTAGCCCCTTGCTTCCTGCATTTTATTCGCCTCTTACAACACGCGTGGCTTACGGAGGAAGAATTCTGTTCCACTTCGTCATGGAGATAAGAGGAAATAAACTAGAACAAGAACTAGTAAGAGAATAGAAGAAAACCCAGAGGGGTGTGTATATATATGTTTGTATATGCATGTGTAGTGTGACCTAAGTGTAAGTAGAATCAGCAAGACTTACCTGAAATCTTGCATGTTTATGAGACAGAAAAAAGACACCAGCAATCCTACCATCATGTAAAACAATTACAGACTTTCGTTTTACACTCACTTGGCAGGATGGTAGTATCTCCTTGAGTGGATGCTGTCTACCAACCTACTACCTAGGATTTTGTATTTATCCATGTTAATTCATAGTATGGAGCAGTTCGTGGTTGTGGGTATGGGTTAATGGAGTCTTATGCACATTATCTGCCAGCTAATATATGACTCCATTATAGCACTGATTTCAGCATGGCAGTGACTAAGATATACAATAAGTCCCCCACTCGTGACCTTAATGTGATCGTGAAAATCATTCATTAATCGAACATTAGGAACTCAAAACCTATTTTTTCTTTAGAAACCTATATTATAATCTGAAATGCATTCTCAAGTCATAATATTTCGTATTTAATTCCATATACTTGTTCAACAATGAAATTGAAAATATTGTATAATACTCACATGAGTCACCCTCTCTGCTTCCTCTTCCTTCTCCCTTCTATCTCCTTACTTACTTTTCTCTCTTGCATTCCTTCCCTCTCTTCCACTCTCCCATTCACTTCCACTGCCTTTCCTATCACATCTAACACAACTTACTTGACGTATGCTCTCCACCATCTCACTGATAACTGCAAAAGCCTAAGGTGTTTGGGCACATGGCATATCATGTTAGTGGAGAAGTGGTGAGGATAGTGTATGGGGAGGTTGGGTTAAGTACAGTTGGCCAGACTGGTGAAGGAGAGGAGAGAAAGGGAGTCACTTGTCCTTTCCTTTCCCATGGTCACCAACCTGGGGCCAAGCCTTCCATTACCCAGGCTCTCTGCAAACCACTCACCTCCCCAGGTAACTACCCATCCCTCAGTTCTTTACCCTCAGTCACCAGGCTAGGGCCAGGGCCTCCACTTCCTCCTCAGGCTTTCTGGCAACCCACCTTCTAAGAAAAATCACTCCTTGGTCCTTGCCCCTCATTCACCAGCCAGGGACTGGGGCTTTCCCATTCCCAGGTTCTGACAGCCCACCCATTTTCCAGGTTCTGACAACCCACCCATTTCCCAGGCTCAGCCTTTCCCACCTTCCTCTGCCACTAGCCAAATGCCAGAGTTTTACCCCCAAGGCTACTCACCTACCTCAGTGGCATATCACCCACCCCTAGTCTCATCCTTCCTTGGCCACTAATTTGAGTTAGGGGCCTCTTTTTCAGATTCCCAAGCAACCCATCATCCTCCCTGCTTTACCATGTCCTCCCCACCTGTCACCCACTGACATACTAAACAACAGTATACTAAACAACACTTCTTTACTAATCCATGCCAAATTATGTGAGCTTTATACATCCATGCAATGAACATACACAATACATGAATGCATGTGGCTGCAAAATAAGAGAGAGAAGCATTTATTTAAAATAATTTGTTTTGAATATTTGCAATAATTGTAATGCAGCTCAACACTCGTAAGTGATTCTTTGGTTCCAGAGTGCCAATATCATAAGTGCAGTATATCATAAGTCAGGGACCTACTGTTTATAGGTGCTTTGGCTGTTTTTGGTTTAATGTATTTAGGTTGCTTTGGTTAAGTTAGATAAGGTAAGGCATTATTGGTTTGGTGCATTTTTGTTATGGAACTACAAAGGTGTTTTGAATGATATTTGTTTTTGGTACCTCTTCAAGAGACGAGAAGGAAGTAAGGTAGATCTAATAATCAAAGCCAAAGCACCTCATCTAATTAACATGTAGTTACCAGGCACTTCTTTATTTGCAAGACACTAATATTAGTTATGATAACAATATTAATACTATGTTGTATTTTTCAGATGGAAGAAAGTGAAATGGATGAGAATTTTTTGAACAATCATGTAACTTGGAATGAGAATTTAGAAAAAACAGAAATAAGTAATTTTAAGCTTGACACTGACTTGTTAAAGATAAACAAGTGCATTAGAGCAACTCAGAATGATGTTGCTGGATACCAAGAAAAGGATGAACCCAAGATGATGGATAATACTCTGGAGAAAAAGTTATTTGAAGCTACTGAATGTATTCAGAAAAATTCAGTAAGTGCCAGCACCCACTTCAGGACAAATTATCCAGAGGTAAATGAAGATCATGGAAATTATTGTGCTGAAAGACATGGAGTTGAGCCTGTGTGTGAATCAATTTCTATTCATCCAGATCCAGAGTTAATGAACCTACCTCTACAGTTTAAGCATGAAATTGATGATAGTGAATTTTTACATGATGTAATTAATGCTTCACCTGATTCTGTAATTAAAGCTCTTCAACCTATTGTCAAAATCAAGGCTTTAGAATCTCAGTCCATAATAAAAGTTATTCATCTCAAACAAGAGAAAGATGATATAAAGCCTGCTCACAAACTGATAGATACTAAACTTCACAAAGAGTTAGTAAGTGTAAAATACAAGCATGAAGTACATGATAGCCAAAGTAGTTTTGAAAACAAATGTACACGGCCAAGACGGCAGCTTAGGTATAAGTGTGAGAATTGTGATCAAGGGTATTCACACATGTGGACCTTAGAATCCCATAGTAGAATATGCAATAAAGTCAGTAATTTAAGAAAGACACGTTGCATATACCCGACATGTACGAAGGCATTCTTCCATAAATTTCGAATGATGGAGCATTATGAAAGGGAACACACTGATGAAGAAGGGCCAGAACTTAAGGCAAATCCAAATTTCATTAATCCTGAGTATATTTGTTGTAATTGTGAGCGTATGTTTACTAATCTGTCAGTTTTGCACTATCATGAAGCACTCTGTGGTAAATCAGTCACTCTCAAGAGTACCAGTCAACTTGGTATTGTAAATAAAATAAAGTGTATATATCCTTCCTGTAGGAAGCACTTTACTCAAAAATCTATTATGAAGCGTCATGTGATGAAAGAGCACCCAAAAACAAAGGCAGTGCTAGAGCCCATCCCAAACTATAGTTGCCATAATTGTTTGCATACTTTTACTTATTTGTCCAGTTTCTTAACCCATGAAAAATCTTGTGGAAACCGAAGTAAAGTGAAGAAAACACCATGCATTCATCCACTTTGTAAAAGAGAGTTTTTCCATAAGTACAGACTTATTCAGCATGTTAAAGAAGAGCATCCTGACATAGAATATGTTGAACCTGCAAAGGTTACCAGTTTCAAGTGTCCAAAATGTGATCGAGAATATTCTCATGAACGAAGTCTGAAGTCTCATACACATACATGTGGTAAAAGAGGGAAATTAAGGAAAACACAGTGCATTCACTCTGCATGCACAAAGGAATTCTTCCACACATCCAGGATGATGGAGCACATTGCTAAAGATCATCCTGATATAGATGAACCCTATCCTAATAATATACATGGTTTCAAGTGCCAAAACTGTGATACAGTGTATGGCCATTTGCAGAGCTTAAAGCGGCACATGGAATCTTGTGGTGTTGGAGGCAAGTTAAGAAAAACACAGTGTATTCATCCATCATGTGAAAAAGTGTTTTTTCATATTTCATCTATGATGAAACACATGGAGAGTGATCATACAGATATGGAGGTTAATGTATTAGAGAAGCATTTCACTTCACTTACTGAATTCAAACTTTGGAAGGAGGATGAAGAGGTAAAGTCTTTTTCATATTTCAGCACAAGGCACAGTATAACATCTAATGATGGTAAAGCATACTTATGCTTTGTATGTCAGTACAGTGGACCAGACAGGTATTCAGATGCATCCAGTGATACAGGTAGAGTTTCATCAAAAAAGTGGAGGAAAGGAAGAGTAAAGTCTGGTATCATTTGCCCTGCAAGGATGCTAGTGAAGGAATGTCGTGATGGTTCTGTTTCAGTTAAGTACTTTAAAACTCATAATCATGATGTTAATAAGAATACTGTAATATATCCACCTCCTGCTAAAAGAGCTTTTAGAAAATATCATTTGTCAATGAGAGAAGCAAATAAGAACTCTGAAAATAATGCTGTGAATGGTATTCATGAAAAAGTTAAAATAGATACTAATGAGGATACAGTAGAAGTTAGTGTTAAGGATGAGATGGTAAGTGGAGAAATGATCGCTGAAGCAGTAATGGGAACTGGTTACTTTGATTATATGGTTAAACCCAATTGTGGCTATGTTCTCACTTTGGAAAAGGCAAATGAAACTGTAAGACTGTTTCAGCAGAGGACATCATCTCGTTTTGTCTGCTACAAGGTGCAGCGGAGTTTTGGAAGAGAGGGTAAGTAGTATCTCTCATGAATAATATTCATCTACTGCAAAGACAGGAGTCATACTCTACAACATTTGCTTTTAGTGTCCAAACCTCCAACCATTTAGAGACAGGTCAAAATAATCTATGCAGTAAATGACAAAACATTTCACTGTAGATACTGTACATTTCACTGTAGATACTGTACATTTGTACATGGTTGTATGGTACAGTAATAATAGTAGTAGTAGTAGTTAGTAGTACATTATTTTAGTACATATACGTAGTTATAAAATAATAATATACAATAATAGTAACAGTAATCTCCATGGGAAATTGGAACAAAATTCTTCCTCCGTAAGCCATGTGTGTCGTAAGAGGCGACTAAAATGCTTGGAGCAAGGGGCTGGTAACCCCTTCTCCTGTATAGTATTACTAAATTGAAATAGAGAAACTTTTATTTTTCATTTTGGGCCACCCTGCCTTGGTGGGATACAGCCAATTTATTGAAAGAGGAAGAAGAATAACAGTAATAAGAAGAATAATAAAAATAACAATAATGATGTAAAGTCATACTTCAAATACATATACACAGTTTTATTTCTAGTCACTAGTACTGGAACATGATTGAGTGAGAGTATGTTGGGTGCTCACCCCATGATGTCGTGTGGAATTAATCTGTAATTATGAAAGAGAGAATGGGTAGTGGAAATACAGCATTCTGTCTTTTCTGTCCTTACCTCTTCTTTTGCAATAGGGTTAGTGACATTTCAAGCAAAAGTAGTATTAAATTTTTCAGTAGATAACCTCCATATAGAACCAAACAGAACATGTTATCTGCTCTTCCATATATATCCACATATTCAGTTTACTACTACAGCTGCAACTTTCAGACTGGTGTGTTCTGAATCGTAAGATCTTGTGGCAGCATGAAGAGTTAAGGGAAAATACTCTACCAGAGTTTGATGGTGTTCCCTACATAACTAATGGCACTAAAGTGCTGGAGTGTCAGTATGGTGTTTACAGAAGTACATACCAAAAGAAACATAACCATGAGAAAAGAAAGGTAATTACAAACTTTCTTATTTTTATAATAAAGTGACAGAGCTATTTAATTTCATTTTATGCATACTGTATTTTGATTTAAAGGAACAAGTGCAGTGTTTTATTTGTTAACTGTAATTTTTTGTATCAAATACTGTTCATTTTTTCTAGCTTTTCCATGCCTACTTAAATAGCCATCACATTAATATACCTAGCTAGTAGATTTATCTTGGAGTACATTTTACAAATTGGCATAGCAGTACAACAGGTCATTCTGTATGATTACCACCTTGTAAGTTTAAGACGTTAACTTTTGCAGACATTGCCTAGACACATAGGGGTGTATGGTTCCTGTAGGGTGCAAACGCTATTTTTTTACTGTTGGAAATTTTTTTGATGCATACATCATTGTTATCATTCTTGTACTACATAATTTTTCATTCCATCTAAAAATAATATAAGATTTAATATCTCATCTTCAGCATCATAATGAATTCAGCAGTTTTTCAGTGCATTTTGATAAGGAGAAAGGAATTATTGCTTTTTTATTTTTAAACACATTGACAATTTCCCACCGAAGTAGGGTAACCCAGAAAGAAAGAAAAAACTTTCATCATCATTCAACACTTTCACTATTATTCATACATAATCACTGTCTTTGCAGAGGTGCTCAGATATGACAGTTTAGATATCACTCCAAACAGCCAATATCCCAGACCTATCCTTTAAAGTGCAGACATTGTACTTCCCACCTCCAGGACTCAAGTCCGGCTAACCAGTTTCCCTGAATCCCTTCACAAAATATTACCCTGCTCACACTTCTACAGCTCGTCAAGTCCCAAAAACCATTTGTCTCCATTCACTCCTACTTAACACACTCATGCATGCGTGCTGGAAGGAAAAACCCCCTCTCACACAAAACCTCCTCTACCCCTCCCCTCCAACCTTTCCTAGGACGACTCCTACAGGTGTGAGGTTAGAACATTACCATACACCACTGATGAAAAGAATTCCAACCCTGAACTCATACTGAGTATAAGGGATGTGATGAACCCCACTGTTGCCATTAATTTTTTTTTTTTTTACCAAATGTCCCTTTCCACCCTGACACAGGTGAAACATTGATAGTGTTTCTATACACTTGCTGCCTCTGTTCACCTAGCAGTAAGTAGATACCTGCATGTTAGATGACTGTTGTTGGTTACATCCTGGGGAATAAGATTGACCTAAGTTGCCTGAAATAGTCTGTATAACCAGGGGCTTTTTATATAATATGTCAGTGATATCAGCTAGATCTGTATCAGTTGTATCATGTACCTGTGAAATAAAAGATTTATCATTATTATTATTATTATTATAAATTATAAGGTTAAACTCCCTTTTTTTGTTATAGGGATTGCTGTTTTTTTGGCAGATGCCTTGGGCAGTACTGGCTGGGGCTTTCCATGCCAAGGTGGATGCAGACTTAGTGCTGCTTCCAAGTATATCTTATGCATGGAGACCATGTTCTTGTTTCCACTAATCTAGAAGTTAAACCCTCTCTTGTAGCTGCAGCATATCAGGGAACAATATGTTTCTTTGGTGATGAATAAAGGTAAATCATGTTATTCAATATTAGTCCTATTGAATCATTCAGCTGGTCATATTAAGCTTAGGTCAGGCAGGCAACAGATGGTACATACCCTTTTAGTTCTTTGGCTGTTCCTAGGCTCTTGGATGGTTACCTGCTTCTATATCTCTATTACACCTAGAGCCTATGGTGCATTTCGTGTGTTTCCTTGTTAGCCTCGGTGGTGAGTGGAGAGACTGTTATATTTTTGTTGATATATCCCTGTTTGGTATCTATTCTGAAACTCGTCTGACAAGTGACAGGTGTTGCAAATCAAGTCTTTCTGAAAGACCTTTTATAACTATTCCTCATCATCTTGTTCCATGAGGTCCTACCACATCCACCCAGCTTAGGATTGTATGTCGATTATTTCTCCTGTGCCTTTGTACCTCCTTACATTCACCTGATGGGAAACAGAGAGAGAGATCCTGGCAAAGCCAATTTAAGAAGGATTAGAAGATTATGTTTAGCATCACCCTCTCAAGTTAGATGAGTGCCTAGGATAATAGAACATCAATTATGTCTAGAGAGATAAACAGATATTGTGGATAGGTTGAGATTCTGCTCATTTCAATTAACTGGACACTCTTAGTGGATTTTCTCCTTTCCAGGGCTAATGAAGGAAACTTGATTCAAGGAATTTGAGCTACCCCTCCCTTTCCTCAGATCAAGATTGATCCTATAAGTATAGTGTTTTCTTAGGAATATAATAATAATAATGCTGTAATAATACAATGCATTTTCTTTTAGAATGTGCTGACAAAAGAAGAGGAGCCGAATGGTCATCTGTCAAAGAAAGTAAATTGTCCTGCAAAGATATTTCTTAAAGATGTTATTAAATTTCCTGACTTTAAGGTAAGTTATGCTAATTATTTTAATTAAGCTTTATAAGATTCATGTCCTTTTCTTTTAATAAACTGTTGCATTTGTTTGACACTACAGTATATAGAATTTATTTTCTGTAGTTTATTTTTAATTAATACTTTATGTTGATGTTAACAGCTGGCAGGTTGCTTTATTAACTGTCAGTAAAATGTACTTGTTTGGAGACAAAATCATAGAATTCAGCTAAATCTTACATTCAGTATGAAATGTTTCCTTAATAATTTAAGAGTCTTGGTTTTGAACCAGGCAATGAGGGCAGTGATCCCTGAAACCCATAACAGATAAAGGAGGGAGATATGGGCACACAATGAGATATGTAAATCTGGAACTCTTACTTCCAAGGTTAACTATTAGTGAAATTTATGCAGTACATGTACAGTATGTGGTACGTGTAATAAGGTGGCAGAGCTTGGATGTATTGGGTGTATGGTACAGGTAAGCCATTTACATTGTTCCAAAAAGTGGCATTCGAAAAGATGCAACCCTGAAACAGGTCATAGCTCCAGAAAAATATACAGTGGACCCCTGACTTACGATATTAATTCGTTCCAGAAGGCTGTTCGGGTGCCGTTACCGAACGAATTTGCTCCCATAAGGAATATTGTAAATTAGATTAGTCCATTTCAGACCCCCAAAAATACACCTACAAAAGCACTAACAAAAATACACTTACATAATTGTTCGAGTTGGGAGCTGTTCGTAAGTCGGGGGTCCACTGTATGTCCAGAAATGTTTGTTAAAAAGTTTTACCTCATAGAGTAGATACTACTAATGTGTAGTACACTACACTGTTAATACTATAATACATTTAATATTCATGAAATTTAAGTCATAATGATGCATATAAAGTTCTTATGATAAAAATGTGTAATCTTGTATGCAGTGCATGTAGCACAGTGAGTGGTAAAGAAAATATTTAAACAGACTTTCTAGGTGCAAAGAATTCTTAATTTATTTATATTGAAAGCCTGTATGTATTATGTAGGAACTACAGTAATACTCTTCTTTGCTTTGTATATATTAAACAGGTGGAGATGAATTCTCAACAAGAGAAAAAGTTGAAATCAAATCTCCTACGTTTGGCACTCAGAGATGGTCAAGCAGAGGGTGAACGAAGGATATACATTCAACTGCCAAAGGAATCAGATCACTGTAGCCATGAAAAAAACCTATTAAAATGGGTAAGAAACCTTACTGCTTTTATTCTGAAATCATTCTTTCAAGAATACATACCTTAGTTAATAATTCTGAAAAATTAGTACAGCTCTTCCATGAAGGTGACACCATAATTTCTACATAATTTTGGACTTCACTGAAAATTTTAGTACAGTGGACCCCCGCATAACGATCACCTCCGAATGCGACCAATTATGTAAGTGTATTTATGTAAGTGCGTTTGTACGTGTATGTTTGGGGGTCTGAAATGGACTAATCTACTTCACAATATTCCTTATGGGAACAAATTCGGTCAGTACTGGCACCTGAACATACTTCTGGAGTGAAAAAATATCGTTAACCGGGGGTCCACTGTATATGTATTTTGCAGTTTATCTCTTATTCATTAATCACCTAGGAATTTCATTTTGAAGTTATGAAGTGTTTTTTCTAAATTATTATTTTTCTAAATTATTATTGTTAGTACAGTTGGCCACCCAAATTCCTGGGGTTACATTCCTAGAGGTTCTGTGAATCTTCGGTATGCAAATGCAGTTCTTCTTTCAACAAACTGGCCGTATCCCACCGAGGCAGGGTGACTCGAAAAGAAAAACAATTTTTTTTTTTTAGCTTTAGTAATGTATACAGGAGATGTGATCACAAATGTAGTTATACATTATTACTATCAAAAGGAAATGCTAAACCTACTAGGATCATACAGTATTGCAAGGTAGGAACTGATGCAGAATCTAAGGATAAATAAGGGTGGAGATGATAATAAAGGTAAAGTTAGGAAGGGTTGTGAGGAGTGCTAAAGGAAGGATTATCAAAGTTTGTGTAATAAATCAGTTGCTGTCAAAAAGTCAAAGAGGAAGTCTGTCAAAGGTGGGTCCATCAGCAAAGAGGGAAAATAAAGTAAGGAAGTGTTATTTCAGATCTGGGCTCATTTTGTGATTCAGTGAATATATACCTTGTTTTTTCCTGTGGAAATAGGTTCGTTCCTTCAACAGTAAATGGGAAACTGTGAATAAAGACTGATTGTAATATTGTTTCTCTCAAGTAACTTGTGAGCATTTTCTATTTGTAATAATTATTTTATAAATATTAATACATATGATCTTGTGTGGTTAAAGACACATGAGCAAATATTCATGACATTTTATTGTGGAAAAAAAATGACCTAAATGTTTGCTCATGTGTCTTTAGCTACAACTTGGTGGTCATATGTCAGGTTTTCACTACATATGATCTTCATAATCATTTCATATTAGTAAATGAGGATTTCTTTTTAAGTTTGTCTAGTTCCTGGGCCCAGTTCCTTATTGAATTATAAGCTTATTACAACCACTCACAGGATGGGGACAGGCAGCATAATAAAGTTATCAAATTATGCCTAGTTCATAAACATGTGTTTTGATTAAGAGATCACATAATTTTAATGATGCCTTGAAATATGCATATACTACACTTGTATATGGCTAAGAGAGTAATACCTGGATTAAATTCTTTCAGTTTAACAAGAACCAGAAGTCTCGAGGTGGTAGATTATTAAATTTTCCTCACTGGGATACCTACCTAACTGATGTCAATTTTCTACACACTTTTAGAGTCACAAAACCTTTGTTTCAGGTAAGTGTTTTAGATTTAGCAATGTTGTTCAAATTTTTGCCGTTGATGAGAAGCGCAGGTATCTTTCAATCTTTCTTTCAACAAACCAGCTGTATCCCACCGAGGCAGGGTGGCCCAAAAAGAAAAACGAAAGTTTCTCTTTTTGAATTTAGTAATTTATGCAGGAGAAGGGGTTACTAGCCCCTTGCTCCCGGCATTTTAGGTGCAGGTATATTTCATTTAATTTCAAAATTTCAGTTATCATATTTAAAATAAAGGCATTACGTATATGCAAGAGACCTCTTTGTTTGTCTTTACAAACATCTTGGTATTACTACTTACTGAAATGTATGTTTAAAAATATTCTCTTTGCTTAATCATTCCACTTTTGATATTTTTCTTTCTTGAATTGTGCATAACTGTAAAGAATACAACCTCTTAGTAATAATAATCAAGTAGGGTTAAAGCAAAGATAATGTAACACCAAATTGTAAACTTTAATTACAAGATAGAGAATAAAAAATGCAAAAATGGAGTATAATTATCTTAAATGAAGCAGACTATGAAAAATGAATGGAAAAAAAAATTAATTTGATCAAGAGCTAAACACATGAAATAAAATGGTGGTACACAGGAGTGTTGATGCAGGCAGTAGCAGAGGATCAGGTGCTAACTTAGGAGATAACTCTCATTCATACATAACCTACCAGCAGAGTGTAAGAGGTTAAATTGCAGCTGGAATGGTGCAGAGGATCAAAGCAGTAAAGATAGTGAAATCATGTTTAAAGCTTAGAGTTAGACAGCTTCACACACCTTAGTTTATAGATATTAGCTTGAGCGATGAGGGAGTACTGCACTTTAAACATGTAGCAAAGGTAGAGAGAGAGAACATTAGTGACATTCTACCCAACTTATGAGATGGAGTTAACATCTGGTTGAGTAGGTAGGCATGACTTATTAAGTTTTGCAGACACTCATCACTCCCACCCATGGTTAGATGCCTCGCAGAGGTTAAGTGAAGACTCTTTGTAATCAGTTGTTATATTGGTTCCTGCATAGCTCATTGAAATGCACAGAAAGTAGTTCATTGTTAATTACATTCAAATATAACATAATAATTACAATTTCCAGTAATTCTTTTCTGTGATTACTTGTGCCTGCTCTTTGAAAAATGGGTTGTGAAAGGTGATTTGAATTATGATATCTGCACATGTCGGCAAAAAAGTTATTGGATTGAATGAGTGATGGTAAATGTGTTTTCTTCTTTGGGTTATACCATTTTGGTGGGAAACTGCTGTGTCAAAAAAAAAAAAATTGAAAGAAACTACTTGGTCTTCCTATGGCCTAAGAAAAAAAGTTGGACTTTTAGTGTGCTGATTTTTTTGTATATTTATTGTTTGTTCAATTATTTATCCATTCACATGTGCCTTTATTGCCTTTTTGAAAAAGCACAGTTTGTATAATAAGCTTTTCATTTAAAATTTTGTTGCATTATCTTGACATAAGTTGTACTGATAGTATTGAATAATTTACATAACATACAGTAATTTTATTATATATATTTTTCCAATAGTTTCTAGTTGATGAGTGGCAGAAAGAGAAAGCGATTGGACAAGACACTGGTGAATTAACATCACCGGAAAAGGAGCCACTAGATCACCAAGTATTAGCTGCTTTATATTATCTTGGCTCTACTGAGAGTCTGACTTCAGCCAGTACGAAGTAAGATAGCACTTGCAGTATTTTTCACTAAAGTTTGTTAGATTAATATTGTGTTTAGAGATATTCAGGATCCAAATGGCTAGGATTCAGGAAAGTAGTGTTTGACTAACAAAAGTAAACACATGTATTGTATTATAATATTCACAGATAAGTGCTAAACCCATAGAAGTCATACAGAATATTAATAAACAAGGGATGAATATTGTAATAAGTCAATACTGTACATCCTAGTAGATTTAAAGTGTAATATTATCGGGATAAAGTAACAAATCCAAGCTCCGACAGTATTTATAATTTTGAAGAGATATATATGGGCCACATGTTATGGAAAACAGTGTGATAATCTATGTTCAACCCAAGCACTTATTGGTTCAGGTATTTCTGGCTGTTTCTCATATACTCTTCACTAAGTTGTAGTAGTGTTTTAAATACTTGCCCAAGGTACTGAGGCCACCCCATCAAGGAAGGAGAGTTTTCTTATGAAACAGGTACCTAATTAAAGACCTCATACTTTATGCCATTAAGTGAACTTGGTTGGCATCCAGATTACAACAAATGTTCAACAACTCCCATGCCATTTCTTGCTTATTAGTAATGTTTATTTTCTACAGATTTAAAGTGAAGGCTTCTAGATTCACAGAAGTAATTGTCAAGTTTGCTGAGTTCCTTCTAAAGCAGTTAGATAAGTATATTATTTGGCCTCCTATTGAGGAAAGGTGAGTGCTAGCAAGTACTTTAGTTTTTTTTTTTTAACATGTTGGCCGTTTCCCACTGAGGCAAAGTGACCCAAAAAGAAAAAAAATCCCAGAAAGAAAGAAAAAACTTTCATCATTCAACACTTTCACCATCACTCATACATAATCACTGTCTTTTCAGAGGCACTCAGATATGAGAGTTTAGATGTCCCTCTGAACTGCCAATATCCCAAACCCCTCCTTTAAAGTGCAGGCATTGTATTTCCCATTTCCAGGACCCAAGTCCGGCTAACCGGTTTCCCTGAATCCCTTCACAAGATATTATCCTGCTCACACTCCAACAGCTTGTCAGGTCCCAAAAACCATTTGTCTCCATTCACTCCTATCTAACATGCTCATGCATGCTTGGTGGAAGTCCAAGCCCCTCACCCACAAAACCTCCTTTACCCCCTCCCTCCAACCTTTTTGAGGATGACCCCTACCCCACCTTCCTTTCCTTACAGATTTATATGCTCTCCAAGTCATTCTACTTTGTTCTGTTCTCTCTAAATGACCAAACCACATCAACAACCCCTCTTCAGCTCTCTGACTGATACTTTTAGTAACTCTACACCTCCTCCTAATTTCCACACTATGAATTCTCTGCATAATATTTACACCACTCATTGCCCTAAGACAGGATATCTCCAGTGCCTCCAGCATTTACAACATTGTGCCATTTACAACCCATGCTTCACACCCATATAAGTGTTGGTACCACTATACTCCTGTACATTTCCCTTCTTTGCCTCCATGGATAACGTAGTACTGTAGTTATTCACATTATTAGGAAATAAACCCTATTGTAAAACAAGTGTGTGAATTTTATCAAATACTGACTTCCTGCATCAATTATTTAATTTTCTTATAATTTTCCAATCATGTGGGTGGATGTTAAAGACACCTATTTCTTAGTTATTATGTATGTATTCCATTTAATATAATGTAAAATATGTTGCATTTGCTAATACAATGTGCTGTTGATTCTTGGTGTTTTTTCTTCACTAGGGTACAAATAGCTGAGATTATTAAGCAGGACTGTGGGTTCCCAGGAGTGTTTGGTGCCATGGATGCCTCTCTGATTCACATGACTCTGCCTCTTGTAGATGATGCTTGCAAATATGTGTATGCCAATGGAGAAACTGGAACTAAATGTGCTTTTGTTCTTCAGTTCATTGTTGATCACAGACTTGTATTCCGGGATATTCACTTAGATTCCCCAAAGACAGGAACGCGGATACAGATTTTCCAGGTAGATTTTGTATTATACAGCTAATGTTGTACTAACTTATTTTTGATTGAAGTCAATAATGTTTACTAGCCATTTTGTATTGAAATATTGCCCTTAAGAAAATTGACACATTCAAAGTAGTGTACTTCAAAATTTTTATGTGCTTCCACTGAAACACTTTGTCACTGTGTAATAGGAATCAAGTGCCTGGTTAACCATCCAGAATCTTACAAGTGCAGAGACACACTTAGTTGCTCCAGCTGTATACCCTTTGGCACCAGCCCTGTTGACTCCACACATGACTGAAATGTTGTCATACCAGGTTAGCTTAAAGCTGCAGAATATGTATAATTATTATTTCAATCATAACCAAACGCTACACCCACTAGGGTCATACAGCACTGAGAATATGTATAAACAAATTTTTGCCTACTTTTCAAATGTGTAAAATTATGCTTTGAAAAACTTTATATCTTCATACAGTTTAATAATATCTTCATACAGTTTAATAAAACTGTAATTTTCTTGGCCCCTCAAGGGAGGTATCTTGATGCCTATGAGAGCATTTTGATTCAAGGAATTAAACCTATTCTCCCTTTCCTTGGATCAAACCTGAGAGCCTACCATATCCCCAGGCACTGTATGATCCCTACAGGCTTATCACCCATTATGTACTTAATGTAACTATTTAGAATATTTTCTTTCACTAGTTTTTCAGTGAAGTGATCTTGATAAATGCTGAGATTAGAAAAATTTAGTAGCCACAGGATATTGGTAATGTTATGCGTGAATATCTTTGTTTACTATTATTTTCTTAACAGGAGGCATTGTACAATGAGAATCACCAGGAGGCTCACAAATTGACCACCAATGCAATGACAGTATTTAAATCTAGGTTCAGACGTATGCAAATGGTTGATGGTCATGTAGAAGATGAAGAAAAGCTTGTAAAAGCAACCTGTGTGCTCCACAACATTGCTCTTATGAATGAAAATGAAACGGTAAGTGAATTAGTGTTTGAATCATAAGTAGGGGTTTGGTGGCTGGTTTTTATCAGTTTCACTCATATATATTTAAGGACATTTTTCTAGCTTCTTTGACATATAAGATCAGTTCATTTGCTTCTTCACTAGTGGATCTGAATAATAAATATCTTTTCTGTGGAACAATAGAGAGGTTGGTGTTATGTACATGTTATACTTGATTTATATGTAATATTCAGTCGAATTGCTAGATACCTTCATCAGTGTGGATGCAGGTAGAGGATCTCATATACAGGCCATTTGCAAAACCCTGAATTCTAAGGTTAGAGAATGGCTTAAGCATGTCTGTGCTGGCCAGCAAACATACTGATTGTTGTAAATGTATGCAAGCACATGAAGAGCATATTTAACATCACAAGCTTCCTTTTGTAATTAAACACATGCATCAGGAACCTATTTGTCCCTGTGATAACAACCACTGTCATGATTTAGATAATTATCTGCTCTTGAACTGGTGGCTCATCGAGTGGTGATCTATGTAGGTTACTCCCTGTTTTTATGTGGTAAGGGCCATGACATGTCTAATATGCTATATCAGGATAGTTACCACATTTGACCTTCAGTTTATATTCTAGGCCAGGCTGGGTCACATATCCATAGGATCATTGTAAACTTTACAGTTGCCCAGTCAGTGATCACCTTAACAAGTACAGTGGACCCCCGGTTAACGAACTTTTTTCATTCCAGTAGTATGTTCAGGTGCAAGTACTGACGAATTTTCCATAGAATATTGTGAAGTTTGATTAGTCCTTTCAGACCCCAAAAACCGTACAACGGCACTTCTAAATACACTTACATAATGGTCGAATTTGGAGTGATCGTTAAGGGGTCACTGTATAAACTCATGTTCCCTAATAGATAGAAATTATTAGGAATCGTAATTTATTATGTTCGCAAAACGTAACATGATTTTTAATATACTCAAGTGAAATTTGCATAACTGATGTTTAATACAAAGATTCATAGAATGAATTTTATTCGTATTTTTTATATAATTAAACGAAGATATTCTTAGTGTCAAAGCTTCCTACTTGTTACTTCATAAAAAGCCTGTTTATTCTAATGTGCTGCTATGTATGTACCACCAGTACATTACCAGGTGGCACTGTATAATAGCTCTGGGCCCATACTTCCTTAATCTTGAGGAAACTGTCTAGCCAAAAATTGAATAAACTGTGGTCAATACATTTGTTATTTTCCTCTAAAGTTGCTCACAGTTAAATTTGGAATTCTTAATCTGTTATAAATATAACTATATTTCCCAGGTGTTGAATGACTTAGGATTGGAGTACAACAGTGAAGTGGATGAAGAAGGCTGGCATACTGTGGGTATAGAAGAAGTTGTAGCTGATATTGGTATCCTTGGTGGTGAAGAGAAAAGACACTACCTCACTACAGTTATGACCACTCGATAAATTTATATAACATGCTCTACTGTGATGGATATAGTGCTGATAAATTATACAAAATATATAATTAAAATGTGGCTTTTTATCACAGCCTAATCTTGCCTGCCAAAATGTTTTCTTATGACAAACCATTGCTATACAGAGGTCTCAAGCACATTCAGGATGTATCATTAATGTAGTTGTTGTAGTTACTCAAACTGATGAATGACTTTTATGACTCCAACATCTTGTTTCACATAGTAACTCCTGTCTAAGGAGTTACTTTCATATAACTATAACATTATGGTTCACATAATAACTTTTGTCTGAGGGATGACCTCTGTAATTCCAAAACCATGTTTTCTTAATAACTCCCATCTAAGGAGTGACTTTTGCAACTCCAACACCATGCTTTCCATTGTAACTCCTATCTAAGGGGTGACTTCTGCAACTTACCATGTTTCCCATTTATCACCCATCTGAGGGGTATCTTTTTTTTTATCTCATTTGCACCTGCCGTATTCTTACTACATTTCACCTACTGGCCACATGCTTTGTATTCATATTATACTGCACTCTTAAGAAGAAAAAAACTCTTATATGGTCTCCATATTCATCAGTTTCTGCTTTCAGAAAATACTTCTTGTAACAAAATATTCATATCCCACCTTGTTATCTCACTTTCTCCATTACTACTATTCATATAAACCATACCACAGGTGGGGATAGAACCCACGATCAGAGAATCTCAAAACTCCAGACCGTTGTGGCTAACGCGACGATCTGGAGTTTTGAGACTCTGATCGTGGGTTCTATCCCTGTCCATGGTATGGTTTGTTTGCAATCATGTCATTACGATTTCGTGAGTCCTACTACTCATATTTTCTGTTTATCACTGATTATTATTTTATTATTATTATTTCCTGCCCTTCAGTCGTAGGAAATGGCCGACATGTTAAAAAAAAAAATATTATTACAATCAAAACTAAGTGCTAAACCCATAAGTCATGATTTTTGGGACTTTTGACAAGCTGTTGGAGTGTGAGCAGGGTAATATTTTGTGAAGGGATTCAGGGAAACCGGTTAGCTGGACTTGAGCTCTGTAAGTGGGAAGTACAAGCCTGCACTTTAAAGGAGGGGTTTGGGATATTGGCAGTTTGGAGGGACATCTAAACTGTTGTGCCTGAGTGCCTCTGCAAAGACAGTGATTATGTCTGAGTGATGGCGAGTGTTGAATGATGATGAAAGGCTTTTCTTTCTTTTTGGGTCACCCTGCCTCGGTGGGAAATGGACAATGTGTTAAAAAAAAAAAATTATTATTATTACTATTTTCATGCAGTAGCATTAAACCTATGAGGCTCATACAGCATCTGAGGAATCAGATTTCATCCAAGGAAGAAAAGAGTAACTCCAATTCCCTAGCTTGAATGGTGGACCAGCATTATACCTGACCCCAGTTTGAGTCTCCACCCTACTTCTTGAAAAAGTTAGAATCGTTTATTGCTATTTTTTTTAATGTGCACATATGCACACCCCCTCATGCATGCACACTCACTCTCATTCACTCACTTTCTCATTCATTCATTCAGTCAGTCAATTAGAATTATGAAAAACTCAAATGGTTTAGAGTAAATAAGCCTAGAGACATTACATTTACCCAATTGTGATGTACACTGATGTATCCTTAAAGCCAGGGTTGTAATGAAATACAGTAAACAAGTAACCAGACACAAATGCAGTCAGGCGTTTGTTTGAATCATTTGACATATACTGTAGTGTCCAATGCTTTTATGGTCCAGGGTATATGGCATCCATCTAGTTTTAATGCATACTTAGATTATATTCACTTGTATGGAAAGAGATACACAGTCAACCCAGTATGTTTATTATCATAACCAGTAAAACCTACATCATGTGAACGAGAACAACCACATCTGTGTTTACTCACGTTTATAGTATTTGAAAAAGTATTGCTTCATACAAACTTGTGATTGTACAGTAACATTGAGTGTTGTACTTGGAGTCAGTGTATCACAGCTTATTTTAATTACAAAGTATAGTAACAAATGCTACTGAAAGTCATAAGTAGCTTAACTCAATAGAGAAGAATTGTGAATTTGGAGATGAGTGAGCGAGCAAGCGTGAGGAACTCTAGAATCATGGGTCACTTCAGCACGGTAAGATGCAGTCACCCTCAAGTCACGTGATACATGGATGCCTCGCTGCACAATGAAAAATGCACAATCAAGCTCCTTAAAAAAAACTGTGGTTGTGTGTGTATTTTTTAATTTTTTTATGTGTAGTTGCTACAAGTTTGGATTCTATGTAGATATTTAATTTAAATATAAACAATTGAAATATGAGCAACTACAGAGCTTATATAAAGTACACAAACACTGACACAGAGAGTCTTTACAGAAAATCTTCATTTATTTTCTGGTTCCTGAGGCATAAACATGTTTAAATTTTTTGAGGAGAAGGCTTTGTATGTTTGTACAGACTTTAAGGAATAACGTGAAATTTCATGCATCTACTATTAATATTGCTTCAAATACAGGTAGTTGTCAATATCTAGATTTATATTTATTTGTAATAAATTTCAAGAAGAAAATAAAAGTGATCTAAAATTCCAAAGTTCTTTACACATAAGCAGAAATGCCAGACTCATGATCATTGCAGTCAGTGTGAAAATTATTTTAGATAGTAATCATGAAAAAAATCCTTGTTCTGATATGACTATCACAGTTTTAGTGCTAGGACTGCATCATTTTTAGGAAAGAATAGGCTGTGAGTTACATTTAGCCAAGTCTGACATCTCGCCGCCCTGACTGCCACTCACACAGGGAACATCGCAAGGAAATTAACATCCATAGGTATTTTTTACATCATGATTGTCAAGCAATTCAAACTTCCTAATGAATCCAAGGAACTAATTTAAATTTCTATAATATTAATGGGGCTAATACCCGCAGACATTCTACGTACATTACACAGCTAAATCTTTAAGAACAAGGACATACATAAACAAAGGCACATGTACAATTTTGCTCGATACCTTTTTTTTTTTTTTTTAATATATTTAGGCATCGACATACAGCTAAGCCTAAACTTAATATAGTATTATTATAATGTATATAATTTTTATATAGATATCAAACATAGCCTTAATATTCTTGTACTACTATAAGGTGTGGCAAATGAAACAAATGTGTAAGATCAAACAGCAGCCAAAATAATACTTTCATTCTATCTTCAAAACAAACATGTTTAAGGTCAAACAGCAGCCAGAAATAATAGATTCATTTTATCTTCAATGAGAGCAGTTGTCTTCTTTTACTTTCAAATTATTGTTTTTGATATCCTTGCATACACAATTATTATTATTACTTCACTTATTTTTTACATACATGTCAAATTTTTTGCACATGCTAATGCCTCACATTTGTTCAGATAATAATTACAGTGGACCTTCTCATTAATGGACTAATAGGGAAGAGGTAGTGTATGATAACGCCGATTGTCTGAAACTTCCAAATTGTGAAATTCATTTTTCAAGATTAGACAACTGTATTGTGAACTAGCAGACTTGGTCTGCTAGTGCAGAAGGCAACCAGACACTGAGAATATGGGTATTCTCGGTAACCTGCAGTACATTACTGTATTGTATAGTAATTTTATAGTTCTTTCTTTCTTTCAACGTACCAGCCGTATCCCACTGAGGTGGGGTGGCCCAAAAGGAAAAACAAAAGTTTCTCCTTTCAAGTTTAGTAATATATACAGAAGAAGGGGTTACTAGCCCCTTGCTCCCGGCATTTTAGTTGCCTCTTACAACACGCATGGCTTATGGAGGAAGAATTCTGTTCCACTTCCCCATGGAGAAATTTTATAGTTACTGTACATAATTTACAGTAATTTTATTCAACTTTCTGTAATGGAGAGATGAGATGTAAATTGCTATTACTGATAGTGATGACTCAGAATAATTTTTATTTAAAGTCAGAGGAACTATAAAGCTCCACTAGCATTTATGCTAAACAGCATAGTCTGTAAATTTATACTTGCTTCTTAATACCAAATTCCTCACATACCCATGCCACTGAGACACCAGACTCAACCTTCTTTATTAGTTCATTTCTTCTTAGCACTGAGAACCACACATTTCCTCTTGGCACCACCTTTTGCTTTAGAAGCATTGTTAACTACACTTTACTTAATATGTTAAGTAACACAAAACACTAAATCCTGGGAAAATTAGACTGAATGACTACTGTAAATGTGCACAAACAGTAAAACTGGCATGGGTGGCCTACAACTCAGGAAATAATGAAATAATGAAATAATGAAAAGTATAGTAGTACCAACACTCTTATATGGATGTGAAGCTTGGGTGGTAAATGCAGCAGCGAGGAGACGGTTGGAGGCAGTGGAGATGTCCTGTCTAAGGGCAATGTGTGGTGTAAATATTATGCAGAAAATTCGGAGTGTGGAAATTAGGAGAAGGTGTGGAGTTAATAAAAGCATTAGTCAGAGGGCAGAAGAGGGTTGTTGAGGTGGTTTGGTCATTTAGAGAGAATGGATCAAAGTAGAAGACATGGAAAGCACATAAATCTATAGGGGAAGGAAAAGGGGTTTGGGGTCGTCCTCGAAAGGGTTGGAAAGAGGGGGTAAAGGAGGTTTTGTGGGTGAGGGGCTTGGACTTCCGCAAGCGTTGCATGAGCGTGTTAGATAGGAGTGAATGGAGACGAATGAACTTGGGACCTGACGATCTGTTGGAGTGTGAGCAGGGTATATTTTAGTGAAGGGATTCAGGGAAAACGGTTATTTTCATATAGTCGGACTTGAAGTCCTGGAAATGGGAAGTACAATGCCTGCACTTTAAAGGAGGGGTTTGGGAATTGGCAGTTTGGAGGGATATGTTGTGTATCTCTATACGTATATGCTTCTAAGCTGTTGTATTCTGAGCACCTCTGCAAAAGCAGTGATAATGTGTGAGTGTGGTGAAAGTGTTGAATGATGATGAAAGTATTTTCTTTTTGGGGATTTTCTTCTTTTTTTTTGGGTCACCCTGCCTCGGTGGGAAACGACCGACTTGTTGAAAAAAAAAAAAAAAAAAAAAAAAAAGATGGGTCTTGGACATGGCTGCTTTGGCCAGTACTGGATAAATGCTGGAGTTATCAAATTTAGTTCAATACTTCGGAAGACAACTGAACTCTATCATTATGGACAAAAAGACTTTTATCCATTTTGTCTGATGTTTTCAATGTTTAGTCAATTCTTTTATCCAAAATTGCCAAAATCCATTAATGAGAGGTTTCCTGTATTTGTGAATATTAAAAACATTATTATTATTATTAATAAAATACAGTTCAATAAAAACAATCATTTGCTTGAACGAGTAGTATTTTTGGTTCTACTCCCAAGGATTTTAACTGGTGTAGAGGATCTCTCATTTTACTGAGGTGACAAGGCTATTAAATATTTTTAACATAAAGCAAAATCAGAGGCCTCAGCTAATTTGTAAAAGATACCTTGATCACATGGGGCCCTCAGTGGAACCCTTAGGTAATGTTTCATTGATCCATTTCATTCCCTATACTACACAACTATATATATCACTATTAAACACAAACTTATTACACAATCATGGGTGTCAGTTTTAACCAAATATGATACTGTATCCTATTAATTGAAACTAAATTCAGTCTGATATTTCTACAGATAACATTACAATATAGCATTGAGTTGAAAAGACTACATATTATTACAGTATTTAATTAAGACAAAACCTTATCCTATATCATTTACATTTGTTTAGTAAAATATGAGTAGCATGACGTAGTTGTTTCTGTTGGATCCACTGAGTTTAACTGATGGTTTGCTCACACTTCCACTCCAGTATTCACAAAGCAAGTCTAGTCCAAAATTCACAATAATAATTTAAAACACTTGATTTTCATTTAGAATATATAACCTCATTCAAAAAATTAACCAAATGATCTAAAACAATTATATCATTGTACCACAGTAGAATGAAAGAGAATTGTTTAGCCAACCTATATGAATAAGATATTTTGATGTTAATATGAAAAGCATTATAGTTTGTTCATTGATCAATAAACTAAAAGACTGTCAAAGATACGTAGAATTTCTCATTGTGATACTGGGAAAGAGATGTTAAGTTTCAATCTAAGCTCTCATGTTTAACATGTTTTCAAAAACCACTCAATCACTTCCATGACAACATTTACAAAGTGCTATTCTCAGGTTGCTAACTGGCTGATTAGCCAAAGGTCAGGTAATGTCAAGACATGCGTCAGGACAGGCACACATGGTGATCACAGGTGCTGCACTACCACCCTCCATCCTGGCTTCTCAAGTATCCAACCACTACTATCAAGCATGGTGGAAGTCCTCTATGGCTACCGACTATGGAGTATAAGCAGGTATGGAGGTGACCAGGTATGGAGGATGATGGGTGGCAGATATGAAAGATGATGGGTTGTAGGCATGAAAAATGTTTTCCATACACAAAAGGAGGGGCAAATGGGTATATGGTAATCAGTTCATGATAGTAATTGCCTCATAGAGTTTTACTTTCTTTCTTGATGTTAACAGAATCTATACCAAAGGAGGAAATGATAACGTTATCCACAGAAATGATGAAGACGAAGATTAGGATGATGTTATTCAAAATGTTTGCGGCTGTTTGCTGTTCAGGATCATTAATGTCCATCCCGCCGATAATCATGAAGAGTACGCCCACCAGCACCTAAAACAATAAATCAGCAAGTTACTCTACATATACAGGGCAAGCACTTAAGATAAAAGATTTAATTTTAGATACAGTATCATCATGTGTGATAAAAATTTATTTATTCAAACTTGCTTTTACAGCTTATCTGCAAACCAGAATTAACACTGTAGAATACAGTGACAGGAAGAGTTTCAGTTGCCTCCTGCTGTGGTGACCACCAGTAAGGCCTCTGTAAGTCGTGGCAGCCTTATTGAGGTTCTGGGGCAGTAGCGGCAGCAGGAAGCAACCGACCCTGGTGTGGAGCAACATGCATTGTCATAAGGCCTGGTGGGCGAGCTTGCCAACTTTCCAAAACATGAGGACAAACACGCTGAATCGACTTAAAAACCTCTGCAGCCAAAAAATAGGTTAATTTGTATTTTCAATATTTAATTTGTTAAATAAAAGTGAACATTACAGTTATTGTGTAAGTTTCGTCAATCTCTGAAATTTCATGTTTTCCTTGCATATTTAGGAAAGTATGAATGGAAGTCAAGTGGTTGCTACCTTGAAGGAAACTATCGGCGGGTCTTACTTTAAGGGCGTTTTTTAAGGAGGGTGTTGGTGAAGTTTTCCGGGTGAAGAAAACCTTTGTCGAAGCTCGTCTGAATACCATCAAATGCCATAATAAGCATGTTGAGCCCCATCACCACATGATTAATCACTTCGGCTGGATATTGATGATGCGGCTTTTTAATATTTAACACTGTCAAGACTCCCAGCAAGACCGCCGTCAGCCCCTATGACAGACAAATTTATCACAAAAATGAATCTATAATAAATTTCTCATGTGGTTGCCAAGACTATGGAAGAAAGATAAAAAGACTCAATTAAAATACATACAGTACATGGTTTTTCCAAGTACTCTTTGTTTTATGAGACTGCATGATATGCAGGGCTGTACAAGAATCAATGGAATCAGACCTGCTCCTTTGTACCCAAATAAAGGGATTGACTTGCAGACTAATTAAGGTTTGGAATTAACACAATTATGTTAGGTTTTTTATATAATTTATGCCCAGGTTAATGGCAATCTCTACCAGTGCTTGACAATCAGGTTACTGTATATGTATTTAGGTCATTTAAAGTCAGGTCAAATCACACAGTGATTGGTGGTGGCTGTTGATTTGTTTGTTGCTCAGTCCAGTTGATGATGCCACATGATCATGATGCTGTGCAATAATAATAGTTTCTTGTCATAAATTGTTCTAAAAATATACAAACTTAAAAATGAGTCTGAAAAGAAATGTATGACAAATAAATTTAAATTTTTTTAGCTGATGATGATGGAGAAATTAAGCCTGTGGCTTATCATCTTAGTCAAGGATGTGTTCTTGTCACTCAACAATATAGCCTTATTATTGTTGTACACATGATCAACAGTACCATGCTGATGGCTATACAGTGGACCCCCGGTTAACGATATTTTTTCACTCCAGAAGTATGTTCAGGTGCCAGTACTGACCGAATTTGTTCCCATAAGGAATATTGTGAAGTAGATTAGTCCATTTCAGACCCCCAAACATACACGTACAAACGCACTTACATAAATACACTTACATAATTGGTCGCATTCGGAGGTGATCGTTATGCGGGGGTCCACTGTACTAGTAGCATACATATGTAAGTATTTATTATTACATGTAACTGAATAAGAAACACAGCCAGTTAAAGAAATGATAGCTCATCTCCATACACTCCCACCCCTTCTGTGTTTCCTTTCCCAATGTAGTTAACTGTATAGTCAATAAATTATATTTTTTCCATATTTGATCCTATCTTTGTACATCACCTCAACAGTTGAACATTCCAGTGAAGTAAAACAGCTACAAGTCATGGTGAGTTGTGTAAAATCCTGTTAAGGGGTAATTTTTTTCTATCTTTCTTCTATAGTCTTTTGCACCTTATCCATACATGGTGCTCCTTAAATTGTAAAGTTTTACCAGTTATATATCAGTATTTATTCTTGACTAAAGCAAATATTAGACTTGACCAACTTACCTTCCCAGGCTATGTTCACCAAATATTCACATGGTTTTTTTTATTTTAGGCTCCATCACACAGTATGTAATTCAGCAGAAACAACTCACTGATGCAGTGCATATAAATAACGCTAAATTTACATAATAACAAGTACAACATATAAAGAATCTTGAATTAGGTTACATAATTCTCACTAACTGTAATCATTCTCTTAATGTTTAGTAGTGCCATTGTTTCGTATCATGCAGTGGTGAGCTCAATAAATAAGGGAAAACACTTATTCAGAGATTCTTATGGAACATTTTCTGTAAAATAGATAATTTCTACAGCAATATAATGTTGGGAACACATTCAGTATAAGAATGAATTTTCAGGCAGAATGCGTAATTGCTCTTATAAAATATCCTTTTTACACTTGTATAAACTAGTATGTAATACCATACCTGTATATAATCTTTTAATATCATATTGTTTTCCCTATACAGTACTCTTCTCACAGAAACATTTAGCATATCTAGTGCATTATTTAATAATTTAAATATGAGTATACTATAGGCTTACAAAGGATTCTAAATATGATGAAGTCCTGCCAAATGCAGACTGCATATGCAAATTCAGGTGCAGACCAAATATTTAAGTGAAATCTTATCCAGTAAGGCATAGCAGAGCTTACACTTGCATGGGTCTTGAAGTTTAAATATAATATGCAATCCATTAAAAAATATCTGGGCTGAGAGCTGGAATGCCAGTAGGCCTTAGGCCAAAGCTGTTGATGATGATATTAAGTGATGTGATGACGAACACTGCTCCCACGTTGAAGTAGCTGATGGCGTTGGCTGATGTATGGTAACTCGTCAAGTGTAGCTTACAGTCTCGGAACATGGAGAGGGAGAGTGACAGCAGACCAACCATCACCTGTATACACACCTAGCTTAATATCTCTAGTAAGCTCCTCTCAACTCATTAGACCTCAGAAATCATGAAAATACCTAAGAATGTTATAATACTCCATAATTTAACTTCCTATATCAATTGTTCTATAAATGTGTTGTACATGATGGCTAAATAAGTGTGCATAGTGCACTTAATTTGAACTAGTGTATGTGAAATTACTTTTCCAAGTTTGTGGGATGACTTACAGTTCTTGGTCCCACTTCCTAACTTTGAACTGACTATCATTTCTACTTTTAAACCTCCGTATGGGGTCTGCTTCCAATGTATCATTGCACAGCTCCTCCTCCTAACAAGTTGTTGGTTTTATAATATAAATAATGAACAGTGAGAGAGCAATATTAGTACTATAGCACAACATAGGTTTTTCATTTATGGATTTTTATGATCCATTTTCTTTGTGTTTACCTGATGGATGTTAGAGCCACAAGACATATTTACTGGGTAACCATTCTTGCATTTTATTTTATACAGTATGTATATGGTAAAATGTTTAACTTCAGTAAATTTGCATTAACCCAACTATAATAATGTAAAATGAAAAATCAGCTAAGATCCACAGTAAAATACTAATGTCATGCACAAAAAGGACAGGTTGCATTATTCAGGTTTGTCCACTTCATTCTCACCTTTATGTCATTCCTGTGACTCATTAGTGTGTGTGAGAAAGGGTTTCACAAGAATACTGTCCCAACAATAAATTAAATTCTGCATAACCAATACTGTCCTGGAAGGTCCTGGAGGGATTGGAACCAAACCTGCACATGAAAATCACTCACTATGAAAGCAAAAAGACTCGGCAGGAGATGCAACATTCCCCCAATGAAGAGCAGGGTCGCAACAAGTACATTGAGAGACAACACAATAAGTGTCCAGGGCCCAAGACTGTTCAACTGCCTCCCAGCCTACATAAGGGAGATTACCAATAGACCCCTGGCTGTCTTTAAGAAGGCACTGGACAGACACCTAAAGTCAGTACCTGACCAACCGGACTGTGGCTCGTACATCAGCCTGCGTGCAGCCAGTAGTAATAGCCTGGTTGATCAGACCCTGATCCACCGTGAGGCCTGGTCTCAGACTGAGCCGCGGGGGCATTGACCCCCGAAACCCTCTCCAGGTAAACTGTAATGGTTTTTTTTCATATTTTCATTCCTTATTGCTGGCTAAGTGACATACTAGGTTGGCAGTGAACTCAGTTCACATACTGAGTGTCTGGTTCAATCTCTAGCACAGGTAGAAACGTTAGGTATGCTTCCTTACACCTGCTGCCCCCTGTTCACCTAGCAGTAAGTAGGTACCAGGGTGTTACTTGACTGTTGTGGGTCACATCCTGAGGTGTGGTAGTATACCAGTGATTGGGTTGGGCTTGGAAATAAGCTGAGGTAGGATAACAGCTCTTCGCCAGTACAACTGAGTTTTAAAAAAATCTGTATATACGAGTACGGTAAGAAACAATACAATAAGTGTCAGGGGCTCAAGACTGTTGAACTGCCTCCCAGCATACATAAGGGGGATTACCAATAGACCCTTGGTTGTCTTCAAGAAGGCGCTGGACAGGCACTTAAAGTCAGTACCTGACCAGCCGGGCTGTGGCTCACATGTCAGTTTACATGCGGCCAGGACTAACAGCCTGGTTGATCAGGTCCTGATCCACCATGAGGCCTGGTCATGGACCAGGCTGCAGGAGCATTGATCCCCAAAACACCCTCCAGGTATACCCCAAGGTGTGTATCTATATCTATACATGTAATGGTTTATATAATGGTACTGTATACTATACACTTAAGAATTTATTTTGTCTATTTTAGGGATTAAATTATTCTGAGAGTCTGAGTACAAGTGAATTGTGGACTTCATGTCTACATGCAGCTCATAGGCTATAAATCTAACTTGTGTGAATGACTGGCAAAGACCATCATCACATGATATAGTTTGCAGAGTTGACATAGACAATTGTACTGTATGAATAGTGACAATTATACATGTACTATAATAATGACTGACAGTTATACTCTAAGAAAGGCTGTCAGTTTATAATGTAAGAATGGTTGAAGTTAAGTAATGGGTAGAGATTTTGTTCCTCTGAAATTGGAAAATTTCTGAGATTTTCATTCAGGGCTGCCACACTAGGGTTGCCCATTTATTTTATTTTGTTACTGTTAGTTAATATTATTATTATAATCATGGGGAGCGTTAAACCCATAGGATTATACAGCGCATGTGGGGGAGCTGGAAGGCATTCAGGCTCAATTCAGGGAACTGGAGCACAGATCCAATTCCCTGGATCAAGAGCCCCTCACCAGCATCAAGGGACCTTCTTTGAGGTGTGTTACTGTTAATTAACTATATGTAAATGTGGGTTAATTTACATTAACATAACTTAGAATAACAAACATTATTTTTTTAGAAGGTAAGAATGGACAGACATCAAAGTGAAAACAACGTCTATCATATTTGGATGACATACATTTATTATTATTATTATTATTATTATTATTATTATTATATGAGGAAACATTAAACCCACATGGGTCACAGAGTACAGTTGGGCCCTGCTTTACGGCATACAGTACTTAGAAATGGTGAGCGTTGGTCAGTTGTAGTTGATAAATTAAATAAATTTTGTCTTTTAGACAAAATTTATTTCATGTGTGTGTATGTGTGTTACCTACATGTACCACACCTATATGTGTGGTTGCTCCTGGCCTCTCCAATTTGTTGCTTGCTACTAGTTTCACTCTCCCGGCTCCAAGAGCCTTATCATACCTCTTCTTAATGATATGTACAGATCCAGATTATTCCACTTCATGATGACCCTAAGGATGAAGAAATACTTCCTAACATCCCTATGACCAGGGGCGTCGTAAGGGGGGGTGGGGGGAGGCCGCCCCGGGTGACACCATAGAGCCTCTAAAGAAGGTGACACTAATGCCCAAAAGAGTGCTGCACCAACATAAGAGAAGAATCCTTCGTTTCTAAATAGTTTATTATATATTAACAAAGTACAAATAAGCCTATATAGGGAAAATAATTGATTTTCATGATGTGATAGATAATTTTGCATAACTGAAGGCAAGGTAATGTAAGATCAGATACACTGAGATGTTACCTGTACTCAAAGTCAAATTGGAACTAGTGTTTCTCTGATATTGCAATGTTTTTCTTTATTTTTCAAGTTTTTTTTTTGTTGTTGTTTTGGCAGTTGAAGATGAATAAATGTGGGATCTGTTGGCTGTACTCAAAGTGGTATTTGAATTTATGTTTCCTCAATATTACTACGATTATTTATTTTATCATTCATAAAGTTGAGAAGTATTCTCCTGTTCAGTTTATGGCCCTTAAACGTTCTCATTGTTAAACATTTGTCATGCAGTCACTGGTCATGCAGTAGTGACGTAACTCGAGTTTACCCCCCATCCCCCCCGCCCTTGAATTTCATGGGTGTCACACCAGATTATTATTATAATCGAAAAGAAGCGCTAAACCACAAGGGCTATACAGCGCTGCAGGGCAGGAAGGAAGCAGGGGTATCAGGTGGCAAAAGGGAGAGGGATAATTAGTAGGTTACAGAGAACAGCGGATAGTGCAAGGGTAGAGGGTAGCAAGAGATTGAGGTTGAAAGGGCTGAGGGGAGTGCGAAAGGCATCATCATCAGAGTTTGTGGAGTAAGTCAGTTGTTGTCAAGAAGTCAATGAGAGAGTCAGGATTAAAGGAGGGTGTACAAGAATGGTATACAATACCGACAAGATGAAATTGAGACACATGTGCAACATCTGGGTATATTTATTGTAGTGAAGGTTATGTACATGTCCTCAGAATCAAGATTCCATGATGTTGCAGTGTCAGACATTGCAACATCAAGGAATCTTGATTCTGAGGACATGTACATAACCTTCACTACAATGAAGATACCCAGATGTTGCACATGTGTCTCAATTTCATTAAAGGAGGGTCCATCAGCAAGAAGGGAAGGTAAAGAGAGAGTAGTACAGCGGAGACGACGTTGGAGGTAAATTCTGCGTGCTCGTTGATAGAGAGGGCAGTCTAACAGAATGTGGGTAACCGATACTGGAACTTGACACTTCTCACAGAGGAACAGGGTACCTCTCCATAAGATACCCATGAGTAAGACAAGTGTGGCCAATGCGAAGACGGGAGAGAGTAGTCTCCCAACCTCGACACTGATGACAAGAAGACGGCCAGTAACCTATATTCGGTTTAATAGAATGAAGTTTGTTACCGAGTAGATTAGACCAACGTTGTTACCAACGGGTGTGAAGGTGGGTAGCTATTACAGCAAAATAGTCCGTAAATGGAACACCTCTATATGAAACTGGCAGACACCGCGCAGCTGTGTCTGCCTGTTCATTGCCTTGTACGTCAACATGACCAGGGATCCAACAAAAAACAATATCTTTATGTTTGGTAGAGATACGGCGTAGCCAAAGTTGGATACGGAGGACTAGGGGGTGAAGCGTATCAAAATTTCGTAGAGCCTGTAGAGCACTAAGGGAGTCTGAGACAACCACAAATGATGACACAGGCATAGATGCAATACGGATAAGTGCTGCAAGAATGGCATACAATTCAGCTGTAAAAATGCTAGCCGAGGATAGTAAATGTCCCCGCACGACACTAGAGATTCCGCCCCGGGTGACACCCGAGATTCCGCCCCGGGTGACACCCGAGATTCCGCCCCGGGTGACATCAACTCTAGAAACGCCTCTGGCTATGACTCATTTGAGTTTTCAGCTTCCAACTGTGACCTCTTGCACTTGTATCCCATCTCTTGAAACATTCTACCCCTGTTCACCCTCCTGTCCTGTGTCATAAAGTTTTCTCTGAACTTCTCCTCGTAGGACAACCCCCTTAGCTCCGGTACTAGTCTTGTGGCAAACCTCTGACGTGCTTAACCAGGTGTGGGTTCCATGCTGGTGGTGCATACTCCAGTATGGGCCTGACATACACGGTCGTGAATGACTTTATTTAGATGTCGAAACGTTATTGTTAGGTTTGCCAAACGTCAATTTATTTAATGACATTAACTTTATATATATATATATATATATATATATATATATATATATATATATATATATATTATATATATATATATATATATATATATATATATATATATATATATTTGCAAAACAACCACTGTGAAAGAATAGAGAAATTCCAAGTGCTTTCGTGACTTCTCACATTATCAAGGAACTAGTTCCTTGATAATGTGAGAAGTCACGAAAGCACTTGGAATTTCACTATTCTTTCACAGTGGTTGTTTTGCATATTCTGATACCACCTGTTTACTGTGATCTTAATGCATATATACATATATACATATATATATATATATATATATATATATATATATATATATATATATATATATATATATATATATATATATATATATATATATATATATATATGCCTGTTCATAAACTGAGGTATTATTAATAGATTTAGGTAATTAATATCATAGTAATTTTTATTATTATGAAGAAGTGCTATACCCATAGGGTTCATACAGCGCCTGGGGTATGGACGGCAATCAGGTTCAGTCCAAAGAAGGGGACAAGTCCATTTGTTTGGATGGAGAGGCCTCACCTGCATCAAGAAACACCTCGTTGAAGAGAGGGAAATATTAAATAATTTATCATACTTAATTTTCCAATTGTTGTAGCACCAGGTGTCCCGCCCCAGGCAAGGTATGACCTGTGGGAGTGATCTATGTGAAGGAGCAGTGACCCACCTGCAGCACGAGGGAGGTGATGATGAGGCCCAACATGACAGCATAGTATGGGTGTTGCTCCCCCACCTCCAACACATATTTGAGTTGTGAAGCATTAGCTGTGAGCAGAGCCACGTCCAGCATGCCCTGTGCCACCGTCTTCTTGGTGGCATAGCGGTTGGGATCCAGGGTCTTCCCGCCCTGTAACATATTAATATAAATCAATTCTGCCTCTCATTATAAGCTTCACCATATTGCCTGAAAAAAATGTGAGATTTTATTTGTCCATGCAGCTTAAATCATGCTGTTGCGTTGTCACACCTCCAAACAAAAATTCCTTATATATATAAAAAAAATAGTTAACTATCCCATCTAACTCGAAAAACTTCCTGCGGTGTTTTGCTGATGGTTGCAAAACTGCACCAATTGTGTTGCATAAGTTTTTTCAGTCACTCCCCGATCCCAGAAAGGTATGCCATTAGTATACCTGGAGAGGGTTTCGACTCCGTGGCCCGATCTGTGACCAGGCCTCATGGTGTATCAGGGCCTGATCAACCAGGCTGTTACTGCTGGTTGCACGTAAACCGGCGTACGAACCACAGCCCGGCTGATCAGGTACTGACTGTGGAAAATACTGTATATATTTTCCAGAAATACAGTAGTTACTGAATGTAAATAGATGGCCATACTGTATTTAAAATTTATGTAATCGAAAACGGGAAGCTGCGCCTGCACAGAAGGAGACTCGCCATCTTGGTTTTGAATTGGATACAACGTTAATATAATGGGAAGAATTTTTCGTGCTCTAGAGGTTAAAATTGAATTGACACCTCTCAAATAGGAGGCGAAATTGTTGAATGTGCATTCCTGCATAACTTGAGATATCAGACGACTGGACAAGACAGCTCCAGGAACCTCAGATAAGCTCTCTAGATTTGTGTATAATTCTGGCCAGTGTTTTCATAAATTTAGTTAGTGAGGTTTTTCTGAGTATGATACAACTTAATATCCAGTCAAATTGGTGAGTGATATTAAGATATATTTTCCTTCTGTTATGTATATGTGAATTTATATATAATCATTTTTTAATATAGTCCACAAATTTATATCCTGGTGATGTATAATTCATTTAATTAATAGGTCCAGAGCAACTTGTGGATATGACAGTGGTAGGTATCGAAGGGGGACATTTTTGCGACCTAGGTGTCCCAAATTCCTACTTGTCTAACTGATAAATAATAATTATCTATGCTCATTTATTGTTATGTACATAATTATACATACAGATAAATGCAATTTTCCACACTGACTTTAGGTGCCTGTCCAAAGCCTTCTTTTAAGTCGAGACACACATCATTGTACGCAAAAGACATGAGTTTCTGATACTACAGTTCAATGTAGGCATTGAAGATTCTAAGCCAATCAGCAGAGATATTCACAATTAAATACATGGTAATTAATATCTCCGTCAATAAAAATAGCAAGCTGACACTTACACTACCTAAAATCAATTCGAACTTCCACAATGACACAATAGCATCGGAAGTTGAAAGCCAATCAGAAGAGGCATTTTCTAACCATCGCTCAGAGACCAACATCCCGCTATACATCAGAACTTTAAATTTGAAGTCCCTAAGAAATTGCATTTTTAAATTATCAAAGATGAAAGCTTGAAGATGATCAGATGGAACATTTATAATTATGACACGAAAACCAATATTTCAATTTAATGAACTTCTTAATGAAAATAGCAAATTCGTGTCTGCATAACCCAAAATCATTCCAAATCTTTCTAAATAAGAGAAACACCAGGTTTGAAGCAGATCGGAAGAGGCATTCTCTTAGTTATTAATAGCACGGATGCAGGGCTCTTGATCCAAAGACTTATCTTCCCCTTCCTTGGATTATACCTAGATGCCTTCCTTTCCCTAGTTACTATATTACCCAACGGGTTTAGTGTTTTCCCCGAATAAAATAAAATAAACATATTGAGTTACTATCATTTTAATAAGAGAAATGGCAAACTATCATCTCTCACACTCAGTAACACTCTGAACCTTTTTTTAATTAGGATACGCTAGTGTTGAAAGCTCAAAGTCGATCAGACGAGGCTTTCCCAAGTTATTGTACGGAAAATATAATTGGGTTATGGTTTACATAAAACTGACCCGGAAAAGGGGACGGGGATGGAAGGAGTATACCTGTATATGCCAGTAGTTTCATGATCCCTTCCTTAGTTACAGTCCACCAGTTTTGGAAATTTGAAACTGATGGGATGAGGCTCTCTCAAGCTAAAACGCAAACCTTGTTGGAAGAAAACCCCTCAAGAGACCTATGTCCCTTGAAGCTGGTGAGGGCTCTTGATCCAGTGAATTGGATTTTACCTTCCCTGCCTTGGACAGAACCTGATTGCCTTCCTTTCCCCCAGGCGCGGTGTGACCCAAACCGGTTTAGCGCTCCTCCATAACTGCAGTAATAAGAATGAAACCAGAACAAAATCCAGGTAGCCACTTGAAGATACCCCTTCGGGGACACAAATAAGTATTACAAAAACAATGATTTTTCTCAATTCATTGAACACGATAGTCACTGCTCTTGCCCTAAAGCACACTAGCAATACCATGATTCGAGCCTAGGTGACATCCTTGTCACATCCAAACTAGTTTTTCATGTCTTTAAGATGGGGAGTTTGGGGCCCAGTCCCTGGGCCCATTATGTACCTCTGTAATCTGTAAATACCTTTGTAACTTGTCATGATTGTGACTAGACCTACCTGGAGTTCATTACCTTTGTAAATTGTGAGTTCATTACCTTTGTAAATTGTGAATTCATTACCTCTGTAACTTGCTCAGCTATCAAAACTTTGAGGCCCAGTCCCTGGACCCATTATGTACCTCTGTAATCTTTTGACTACCGCCCACTGGATGGGTATGGGGTGCATAATAAACATATTAAACTAAGATGGGGAGGTCTCTTTTATTGACTTCAGGATGCGTGAGCTCTCCCTTTTCCTCAACCTTGCACTAGAGGCAATGGTCGCCACGAAGGCTATGTTCATTGTCTCGAATACACTTGGCACTTGGAGCCACGAGGTGAACAGACATGGAATAAATAAATTTTGATCTATGATTTGTCGATAGAAATCGAATAGGCACCATCTATCACCTATACTGTCACTATATCCTGAAAAGTATAGGCCTTGATATGCATATACTCTTAGAGGAATGTACATCGTAGTTTACTTTAATCATAGAGATTAAAGTATCCTTGGTTGGTGTCAAAGTGACATGCAGCTTAATTGACTCAATAGCCTTTCAGCCTAATAGATCAACCAACCAACATATACTGTCAATATGCCTTTGACTGTTTCTTTCCTTTGGTATTATAATACACATACTTGCATCTCTGTCGCCTCACTACTGACATCTAAAGGATCTTACACTTTTCTTTTTTTTGGCGAATTCAAAATTGATCTGCACGTCAGTTATAGCAAACCGCAAGTCAGGCTGAAATCTATATTTGCGTTGTACTTGTTAGACAGCAGTACAGACAGCCAGCATTGACAGTATTGGCCTTGAAAGGAAACAGCAACTCAGTCAGCAGTGAAATAGTGAGGTACAAGTTGAGAGACAATAGCTTGTTCGAGGCCAGCTTTTTGTTCATACTGACAACACCACTTTTTTTCCTTCATACACACACACACACGCAGCCACACACAGGTGAGTACTCAAACACCTTCTAAGTGTCCTCTCCCCTCAATGGAGGTTCCTTGATGCTGGTGAGGGGCTCTTGATTTAGGAAATTGGATCTGTGCTCCAGTTCCCTGAATTGAGACTGAATGCCTTCCATCCCCCCACTTTCGCTCTATAATCCTCTGGGTTTAGCGCTCCCCATGATAATAATAATAATAATAATAATAATAATAATAATAATAATAATAATAATAATAATAATAATAATAATAATAATAATAATAATGTGTCCTCTTCAAACTCTGGGATTGTTGTAAATTGTTGCTCCCACTTTTTTCTCCACTGAATAATGTTAATATCATCAGGTGATATGTCACTATCTATCTACGGGAAAGGGTTGGAAAATGGTTTAGCAAATTCAATAAAACCAGTGTCATTCATGACATCGAAATGTTCCTTGAGATTGATTAAGTCAGTGTGAGAGTGAGGGGAGACGAGAGGCGTATAAGCCAGGCTGGGGTCCAGTGGCTTTAATCTATATGGAATGTTGACGCGAGTCCAAGGTCACCCCTCACAAGAGGAGGCGAGGGGAAGGTTGGTTGGCTAATTAAATTTAAAGCCTATCGACTCCAGGAGAGTCATTAAGGATGCATATAATCTGTTCACCAAGTCTACCTTGATCCCTAAAATAGAGATTACAGTAAGGATGCATATAATCTGTTCACCAAGTCTACCTTGATCCCTAAAATAGAGATTACAGTAAACTCTCAGTGTATATACACTGAGAGAGAGAGAGAGAGAGAGAGAGAGTGTACATATCCTATGGGAAAGAGTTGGTTCCTTTGTTGGCTTTAAAGCCTATCGATTGCACTAGTGACTAGAGTAATTAATGCTGCACCACTGAAGAAAACTTCAACCCTCTTCAGCATGAAGTAAACTCTGGGTGTATATATACTGGGAGATATTAAACATCCGGTATACCATGAGGGACGGGATCACAATTTTATCTTGAGGAACATGATGGTAATTAATTATGCTTCACCCAAGAAATGTGTATATTATCCAACAATTTTGTTAATTTTGTTAAATTAAATTGCACTATTCGCCCATTTTTATCAAGACTAGTTTTTAGTTACATGGCAGTGTGACTACCCTGATCTACATCACATATTTACAAGATTAAAGAAAGGACTGTTTACCTAACACATCACGTTTCAAAATTATACTCTTATCAATATGGGATGAGTTTAAAAAATTAGTAATGAAATCAGTCAACTTCATCCAGTAAATAATGTACCTGACCATTGATCAAGGCTCAGTGGTCGGTCGCCAGAGCTGCCCACCGGAACCAATCTATTGAGGACAAAACAAAGGAAAACCCAATTCGCCTTCAACAATAGCCAGGTCAGGTGTGGTGAAGCAGGTGCCGTTATTTAGGTGTTGTGAGTCAGCTCTTAACACCTTCAACAATAGCCAGGTCAGGTGTATTGAAGCAGGTGTCGTTATTTA